CAGAGGAGGTTTGAGACAGAGGAAGAGGAGACGGAGCAGAGGCAGAGGCTCAAGTCAAGGAATACCAGCAGCTGCTGGAAGCTGTGAGGCAAATGGATCTTCCCTTACAGAACCCAAAGGAGATGGCCCTACAGACACCTTGATCTTGGACTTTTAGCCTTTGGAACTCTGAGACAATGCACTTCTGTTATTTTAAGCCACCAAGTTGTGGTAATTTGGACCAGCAGCCCTAGGAAACTAATGCACACTTCAAGCTGACTAGATTCTGCAAAAAAAAAATGCAGTACAAAGTTGTTAGGAAGATTAAGTGTACTGTATACTGTGGAATCCAGAGTGACACATTAACACTTTTTCCTCATCAAACTTGCAATGCTTTTAATTTGAATGTACTCTTCTGTAAGATTCTGAGTGCATGTGTCATGTAAATTGTATGCCTCAAGAAGGCAAATCTAGGCTGATTAGTTTTCTTCATAATTTCACAGCTTATCCTCTCTCTGCTCATTCTGAGCTCTGACCACAGTAAAGGAAGGGGTTGCAAGTACTCTGGTTTGATGGAAAAGTAATTTCATGATTGGGGTATGAACTGAAATAGCTCTTCCATTGGGCAGAAGCATAAATGCCATAAAACTGCCTTAGGGATACCATTAGAAGGTCACCTTAGCTGCCACAGCTCAGGGCTGTTACTTTTTAACCATTGCATGTCTAATGTCAGATGTACTATGCTTTACCAACCACTTAAAAATCTGACCCCCATAAAGGTAACTTCGTAGGATAGGCCAGTTGTCTTACATTAGGTTTCCTAGAAGCAGAGTCGGAGATGGGGTTTCTGATGTGAGCGATTTTTTGAGATGGTGCTTCCAGGTGAAATCTGTGAGAAAGTATGGGAAACATGATAGTGCAGGGTACAAAGCCAGGCGGAGATGAAAGTTCAGTGAAGTCTGGCTTCAGCCTGACCGCACACAGAGCTCTGGAGTGGGTATGGACTGTGGGATTGCCCCACCTTACTCCAGAACTTTAACAACCTGTGTTAATTACTCATTAGCTGCAGACCAGACCACCTCTCTCCCTTGGGAAGCATAGCATCCCTGCATCTCTAGGCAGGGAGACTCCCTTAAGACAAAAACAATTCTCTGGCGAAGAGTGCCGCGTGGCCATGGGCAACCAACGCTCCCAACAGCCTGAATAGGGGAATGGCAGGGAATGGGAACTGCTCAGGGTACTCACAGCATCCAGGGATGTATGGACTTGGCTTCAAACTGTGTTTCTAATTACCCGGCTGATCATTTCAGTGAATGTATCTGGTGTAGGAGAGCTAGCTCTCTGGAAGAAAAAAATTGTTTGCATTACTGAAAGATTTTGAAATGTCCCAAGTATTGCAAATCCTATTAGGGAGATATCATCAGCAAATACTTTTGAATTGTAACAGGAATAATCTGGAAAGAGTGTCTTTTGTCAAGAAATCCATTTTTAGAATGCATGTTGAGTGGGAACACAGGTATGAGTTTGGCTCAGTGCTGCCCTCCAACCGTCCTGTTTATCTTCATGGTCTGTATGTCTTTATGTCTTTTTCCACTTGGATTGGCCACATGAATCTCTGTCTGTGTCAGTGTGGTTTTTTTTCAGTCTGTAAGGTCCTCATAGATGCAGGTCACAGCTGTTTGCTGTTCTCTATGTAGCAAGTTGTACAATTATCTTCTTAATACCTGCTTTTTCTTGATGATGCAGTGTCAATACGTGACAATTTGCTTTTGATGATGGCAATGATGTGCAACTTAATAGTTGCCCAGGCTTTAGCCATGGGACTAAGGCATTGTCCTCAGCAGGATGTGCACATTCAAATGCCTCTAGGAGCCAGACAGATAATGTAGAAGAGTGAGCCAGGCTAGGCAGAAAACAATCCACACTAGTTGGAGCTGTAACAGTCTGAGAAGTATAAGGGAATCCAAATCATAACACTCCATAGGTCAAACAAAACATCTCCGTGGGGCAGATCAGGTGAATGGGTCGCCAGGTTGTGGCCTAAAGGCTGCTCTGAACTCAGGCAGTTACAGATGTCCTGAGTGTGCTCTGCTGTCTAACATCTGCCAGGTTTGCTGAGGCGCCCAAACCGTTACTGCTTGCTTCTGCTCGCTCTGGGCGATTTGGAAGCACCAGATTTTTCAGTCATGCTGCCCTGCTTGTAGAACCTGACTAAGACAGCTTGAGATACTTCCTGGCTTGCCAGGGAAATCTGAGTCATAGGCGCCCCATTTACTTAACACAACTATGAGAAACACCTTAAGAGAGCCCATATCCAGTCACAGAGCTCTGCATCTAGCAGGCACCCCTTAACTGCTTCCTCATGCATCGGGCAAGATAGTCCAGGTCTTTATAACCCACCCCATGGTTTCCATTCTAAGAATGAAGTTTTTCACAGTTTGATTATGATGCAAAGATTACACATACTGATAGCAAGCATTGGCGAGACTGTGGAGAAATCAGAACTCTCCCACACTGCGGATGGGAAGGGAAAAAGGGGTGGCCACTTTGAAAAATAGTATGGTGCTTCCTCAAAAGGTTAAACATAGCACTCCCGCATAAACCAGCAATTCCACTCCTAGGTATATTCACAAGAGGAATGAAAACATGTCCACATACAAACCTGTACACAGATATTGATAACTGCATTATTCCTAATAGCTAAGAGGCAGAAACAATCTAGACATCTATCAATGGATAAATGGATAAATAAAACATAGTGTGTCCAGACAATGCACATCACAGCAATAACAAAAACGAATGAAGGGTAGATGCCTGCTACTGCTCAGATGAGCCTTGTAGCCATTATGCTAAACGCAGGAAGACATTCACAAACCCGTGAATTTTATGATTCCATTTATATGAAATGTCCACAGTAGGGAAATCCATAGACAGAAAGTGGATCAGTGGTTGCCAGGAGCAGAGGGGAAGAAGGAATAGGCAGTGAATGCTAATAATAGAGTTTCTTTTTGAGGTGATGAAAATATTCTAAAGTTAAGTGATAATGCAACTTCCGAAGACACTAAAAACCATTATATTATACACTTTATGTGGAATACAAATTGTGTCTCAATATAGGTATTATTTAAAAAAAGACTGTATGTCCTATAAAGGTTTTTCTCATAGCACCAAATACTGTGTTTGTGAATTTATTACAGTATAGCTGTAAATGCTTTGCTTACTCTGTGACACATAGTAGGTGATCAATAGATGTTCATTGAATGAGTGTTGAATGGATTTCTAAAAAGTCAGAACACTCAGTGACTTGGGGTGGGGATACTGGGGGACTGAAATTTCTGGAGGCTATCTTGAAAAATCTATGGATGTTATTTCCTGTAGGAAGGCACCTAGCATGAAGCCTGCCATGTGAAATGCTCTCAATAAATAGTTTCCTTTCTTGTTTTTCAAATAGTTTCAAACTCTGTTATTCTATTGTCTTTACTTAGTATCAACTTTGTCTGCTTTTTAATGGGGATCATCGATGGAAGCAGGGGTAGGAATTCAAAAAGACCCACCTTGTTTATGTTTAATAGTAGGAGTTACACTCAGCCAAGTAATGTTACGTTTTGAATAAATGGACTAGAACAGTGGTTCTTAAAGTTCACAGTGCATCACAATCACCAGGAGCACAGGTCTAGGGTGAGGTTCCAGAATTTGCATTTTCAACAAGTTTTCAACTAGGGATGCTGCTGCTGGTCTGGGGACCACCCTCTGAGAATCACTGGACTAGCGTGTCTTCTTTTAAAAATTTTCTTAAAATTCTGACACACAAAATTACAGAAAAATTGGAAATACAGTACAAAGAATTTTTTTTTTTTACTGAGGGAAAAGTTGCCAACACAAACAATCCTTATCACCTCCTAGTATGTCAGTGTGGAATTCCTACAAAGATATCCATCCTTCTGCATAATCAAAGTACAACCATAATCCTCAGGAAAGGAACTCTGACACATTACTACCATCTCATCTTCACACTCATTCAAGTTTTTTCAGTTGTCCTAATGCCATTGTTTCCAGCCAAAAGATGCAGTTGAAACACACATTGTGGGTAGCTGTCATGTTTCCATAGCCAGGGACAGTCCCTCAGTATCATCAACTTTCATTGCCAATTATTGTTTAGAGTTTCTCCCAGTTTAGATTTGTCTGGTATTTCCTCTTGAGTAGATTCAGGTTTTGCAGCTTGGGCAGGAATATCAAATAAACGTCTCTGAGTTCTTCTCACTGCATCCTATCAGGTGATGCATGATTTCTGTGTCTCCCATAACTCATTCCTTTTCAATTAATGTTTTTATTTTAATGATTTAGTTATTTATCTCTCTATGGACTCATAGAGATAACTAGGCAGATAAAAGGAGGGAGGAGATAAACAGCAGGAGCTACTATTAAGTGAAAATGCTACGTGTCTTGGAAGAGAGTGTTTAGGAAAATTGCAAAACGTTTTTGACATGTCATAAGCACTGGAAAGGTGATGAACAGACACCTACAGCCTGGCTATAGAATTTGGACTTCATTCTTTGGGCATTAGGGCAGGTCTTTGTTTTAGATAAGCAGTATGGAAAACAGTTTGAAAGAGGAGATAGCCTAGGAGAGAGACGTCCAAGGAGGCCCATGCGAATCATATTCATTCATCTATATTTCTTGTGCTCCTACAACATGCCCAGCACAGTTTTAAAGTGATGGGCATAGGGTAATGAACCAGACAGGCAAGGCCCCAGCCCTCGTAGGGCTTAATACTTCACTGGGAAGAGACAGACAATAAAAAAGCAAACAAGACTGAGATTGTGAGGAGTACAGAAAAGAAAGAAGATCAGGCTGTTATGAAATAGAGTATTGTGGGTGGGAAGGGCTCCTTTATAGTTGAATCAGGGAAGGCTTTCTGAGAAGAAAAGGATAATGCGGAGGAAGGAGACACCTCTGGGCTGGGGTTGGAGGTTGGAGATCAAACGGCTGAGAAACTCTTGATAGTGTGTTTAACATCTGGTATGTATGTGCATTTTTCTGGGAAGATTCTCAAAGGAGAATGGGTCCTGGGGCAGCAGCGCCCTCGGAGACGACGCTGTGGACGACACGTGGGCCTGCGGCGCCCTGGGGTAAGAGGGGAGCCCCCTGCAGCCCTAGTTCTGTCCGCCCCTGCAGCCGCCGCTCGGGGCCACCTGCCTCCCGTCCCCGCCTCCCTCCGGACGCCCACCTCCCCGCCCCGCCGGATCCTCAGTACTGAGGCCTCCGCGTCCCTGGGCTCTGCGCGGCATGCACGCACCTGCGTGTCCCAGGCAGCGAGCGCCCCCTGCTCAGTACCTTCCCTCCTCCCTCCAGCACAGTGCCTGGCACAGAGCCGGCGGATCAGTAGTACTGATTCCAAACTTAACTGTATTTTCTGTTTCTTCATGATGCACCTCTTTCTAGGAGGCAAATGTAAATGATTAGCAAATACATTGATTACTGGGATGGTTTTAATTTGTGATTCTTTCCAGATAGCCATGCCTCAGTGTAATGATTGCTTTACAGGTTGTTACTTTATAGTTCTCTAATACGTCTCCTTTGAACGGTGGGCTTAAGTACCATGATCATTTGGGCTGGAAAACAGAATTTTGTCCCATGGACTTTTAATGTCTCTGAAATATGCATGGGGTGCTTGCCCTGCCTGTATGTAAGGTTAAGACGGCTTGCAGATGGAACACCTGTTTTGAGTGATTAAAAGCAGAGAAGTGATTTTAATAGTAACTGGGCCTTACCCTCATACTACTGAATTAGAATCTGTAGTATTTTTTTTCAACTGTTATTTTTAAAAAGCTTCCCATGTGATTCTCATATAGAGATTAGTCCTAATAAATATTGTATCAGAGAATTGAGAATTTTATTAATCTTATTTTTCAAAAACTTCTGGAGAAAGATAATCTGCAGCCTATCTTCCTATATTCAACTATCTTTCCTATGAGGAGATAACTTCTTTGTGGAGCAATTAAGTCTGCAAACTGTATTTAAGCTATTTTTTCCTGTTCCTTCTTAGTGTGGAGATGATGCCTAATACACCTTGCATTTCATTTGTATATTGCTTATAGTTTAATTTACAGAGGATTTTCTCATTTGAGATAGAAAACAGCTGAGCTCAATCTTGAAAAATTGCTTCTTTACAATCACATCTTTACTTTCCCTTTTCTAGGGTAAATTATTACGCTCCTGTCTTACCCACAGCCACATTTATTCCCCATAGCATTCAGCAGTGTCTGGAACATAAATGCTTGCAGATATTAGTACCTTTCCCAATTCAGTTTTTGGCTTCTTTTGACTATTTCCCGAGTGTTTCTCATCATCTGGAGTCCAGAATGAGTAAGGAGCTGGTCAGAGTTCAGTGTAATGTGAGGATTAGAGAATTTTCTTTGGTTGATGGAAAGATTTTGTGGGCTTTCAGATCTAGTCTCAGATACAGGAAATTTGGTAAATGTGCTATTGTGTAGCAGGAACTCACTGAACTGGACATTTTTTGGTATTTTTTAAATCAATTTTGAAAACCTGTGTGCCATTATTTTTAACAAAATGGGAATGAAACCATGAATTATTATGAAAGCCTTTCCATTTCCTGACTAATAGGTGTTATCAAGCTGATAATAGTTTAAGAAGAGAACATTGCATGCTCCTCAGGAATGCTGATCGTGTTCTTATAGGAGGGAGAAGGGTCGTGAAGCTTTGTGCCTTTTCTCAGATGTGACCCAAAGGACATGTAAAACTATACTCTTGAGCTTTTAAAATTTTCTTAACATTAAATTTATCCTAAAACAAATAATTGTTTTAGAACTTATCTCACTGGAATTTGTATTCAGAAGTACCTGTTCCTGCAAATAAAAACCTCCCACCTGGAAAGGATAGTACAGCAGGTGGTAAGAAATCCTAGATGTGCAATTTATACTTATATTTATAAATATGTGAAAATTTATATCTATATTTATAATATGAAGAACCAATCCTAATAAAGGGGGTTTGTTTTTAATGTAACCAGTTTAATGTAACTAATAATTGTCATTTGTTATACACATTCTTTCAGGCAAAATTAACAAGGTAAGGATAAATGTTTAGTTTTAAATAATTCACAAAACATTATTTTAAAATTATATATATGTTCTTTAAACCCCAAAGTTAAACTTAAAATTTCATTTCTGTAGAGTTCTTCAAACAAGTCAAAGCCTTTACTCTTCTTTTACAGGGCTGCACATTGGTCATTAAATTAATATTTTATTACATAAAGTTTTTTTCAATATAACAATAATATGGAAGTTAACACTGTAGTGAATATAGTGTTTTCTAGTTATTGCCAAAAAGGAAAGTAGTCTCAAGCCCTTAAGATCTTGAAGCAGTTGAAATGGTTAATATTTTGTTTTGAAGTTGCAAGAAAATTAATCTTTAATTTACCTCTTTTTGATCAAAATACAAAACACTTAGTAAAATATAGACACTCTTAATGATATTCCAGACTCCTCAGCTTAGCTGGTATTTAGAGTATATTAATTCCTGCTGAGATCAATAAAAACAAATATCTGTATGTGTATAGAATAACTTTACTTTGTATTTCTTGGTTAGACTATATTTTCTTTGTTTAGAACAAGGACTCTACATTCTTAGAACAAGAGTCAGAAACATAAATGTATTATGTTAAAAGTCTTCTGCTGCTTTATAGAACCATTTGGAAATTCCAGTAGTGCAACTGATGCTAGCACTTAATTTGTCAGAGCACACTCATGAAAGAACACAGGTGAGAGTTAATTCATCATACTCTTAAAGTATTATGTTTTTAAAAATGCATGCAGTGATCAAAATGTTCATGGTTTTTCTTTTATCAGAATAGTAAACAAGGAATATTTCAGTTATGGAGTTACCCTCTTAATGAAGGAAGTACCATTGAGAACAGGTGAGAGGATATTTATTTTTGCAAACACTGAAATGAGTGAAATAAATTTATGTACAGATGAGTTAACTACTCATCTGAAATAAAAGAACACAAAACAACCAGAAAAAAAGAGGATTGTATGTAAATAGTGGGCATTTATGGTTTATCTGCTTATTAATTCCCTAAGATAGGCCTGGTGTTTTGCAGTTTTCATTTCAATGTAATACCTAGAAGAATTTCTTCTAAGCTAAAAGAGCACCATCAGATGACAATTACTATGGACTTTGTGTGGGATGTTTCTTAGACATTGTTTTGCTTTCATTTTTGTTAGAATAAATTATTCTAATTTTAGAATAATATTACACAGTGGCTAAGTAGAACCCTTTATTAAGTAACCTAATACTTTCCTTAAGAATTCCCTTTCATCTAATCCTGGGTCAATAAACATTTCACTGTAATTTTAGCTTAAATGGATAGCTTCCTTTTCAGACCTCATAATTGCATGTACAGTACATTCATAAACAAAGATATATAATTAGCCACTTTTAACCTAGTGGCCATTCACAGCCATAGTTAGTCATTTGTAGGTCTAATGACCTAGTCAACTGTGCATGCATAAAGAGATGCCTGGTTAATATTTTAACCTATACTTTAAAAAACGCATATAGTTGTATATAATTAGAGCATATTTGGTAATTAACATATTTATGTTACAGACAGATGCACATATGCATTTGGGAGCTAAACATTAATCAGTCTTTGATAAAGTTTACTTATTATTTTAATAACATTTAAATATCATTTACTATCATTTTAATTCTAGCCAACAAACCATTCACTAATTAAATCATTTTTTTTAAGGGATTTCAAAAAATCTTCAATGGAGATTGGTCCTAATGTAACTAATGACACCATAAGACTCTTCACTGTGAACCACTCACTAACAAGTGTTTCAGTTGATAAGCAAGTTGGTTCTTACCCTGGACTTCGGATACCATTAGATCCCTGCTGGCTCTATGCCGATGGAGACTTTTTAAAGGACAGAAGTGAAACTCATATTATTTTATGCTCAACTATAGAAAACAACGATGGTGAAACTCTATCTGCTCCAAATTGGAACTTGAAATATGGAAACATCAGTGTGGAAGAAAACTTAAGTGATGAAAGTGATATACCAGAAAACGAGAAAGCAAATGATAGTTAGCTCAGTTATTTTAGAAAGATGGACCTGAACTTAAAGCCAATAGAAACTGTTGAAGAAGTTTTCACTGAGGAACCAAGTGAAGTATTTCCATATGCTGATTTTCCTCCTCCTCCTTTCAGTGCTCTGAACTTGCACAAACTCGCCCTCTCAAAATCTGAAAATTGGAAAGCAACAATGGGACCTGCAGAAGGCTGTACTGAACATGTGATAACTCGTTTACTGGAAATGCAAAGATTACAGCATTCGACTGTGCAGAGAGAGAGGCCAAGACTGCAAACTACCTTCTGCACTCCAGCAGTTACTGAGCGACCCTCTTCCGCCAAAGCGGTGCCCAAAATTAGACAGCCAAAACTTTCCGACTGTTTGAGTCTTCAGATGACTTGGGTAGATAAAGTCATGAAAAAAGAAAAAACAGTTCTGGTTCTTGTAAGCTGGCACAAAATGCTTCAAAATGAAATTGGAGCAATGGTGGCAAATATAAATGGAATTCTAGACCACCATCTCTTAAAAGTTCATCCACAACAAAATAATTAATTGCAACCTATGACAAAGTTAAGAATCCCCAAATCTGCATTTTGAATCCATGCCAAGAACTCTCGACCAGGCCTCCTACTGCCCAAACTCAGTCACTGGCTAAAGTGGTCTCAACAAGATGTCTGCCACCAAGGTCTCCAATACCAGTTTCAGCTATTCCTCTGTCTTTTCCTGAAAATCAGAGGGAAGAAATTAAGGCACCAAGGGCCAAAAAGAAACCTTTCTGAAAAAACATAGCATTCAACAGACCATTCTATATTCAGAAGTTAAACTTAGTCACGTTCATTTATAGCTAAGGATAAGTGCTTACCCATTGACCAAAAATAACCCTTCTTTCATACCTCCGTGTGAGCAAATCTGTTCCAAGAAACCCGGCTGAATCATGGTTCATCATTCCAAGAGACAGACAGTGCACACACACACCCATGTGTGCGCACACACACACAGCAGTTATTTGCTGTGCTATAGAGTAAAACTTGTGAAAATTCACTGTTGAGGTACCTATATATAAATTCAAGGACTTCCATACTGACATGGTTGACAATCTTTTGCATGTTTCAAAGAAATGTCTCACCTATTAAACTGTTTGATTCAAAAGATTGTTCTTTGTTCTTTTGTTGTATTTTTCAGTATAACTTCATCATCAATAAATGGCATAATCAACTTATTGCTGGTATAATTATTATTTTATTGTATTCTATTGCAGTTATAAGAGGGTAATTACCTCTATCAGTTGTCTTTTTTTACATCTGCCCATACTGGTACCTTTTCTTCTTTCTCTTCTCATCTCCACAAATCTGCTCTGTCATTTTGTCCTATTCTTTGGGTATTTGTTTGAATGGTAAAGAATTTGCTATTTAGTTAAATTGACCAGATCCTCTAGGTCATCCTTATGAATCCTCAGAAACTTTCCCTTTCCCAGGACCTTTGTCAAATACATGAAAGAAAGCAAGATCAGTTGTCTTTGGGGTCTACTATTCAAGTTGATGTAAAATGCATAGATCAGAGTTTGGATATTTTTGGGGCAGTAATGCTTTGGTTTTAGTAGGTGGTGAATTCAAATGAACTTTTCTCAAACATTATAAAAACGACGCATATGATTGAAACTTCAAACATTATCCAAAGGTATAAATGAAAAGTGAAAGGCCTTTCCTCACCCCTCAACCCCCAAACAAAGGCAGTCTCTATTAAGTTGTGTGTCATCCCCGAGATAAGATGGAATATTTGAGTTAGGAATCGGTGAGATGAATTAAAGGACAATTCAAACAAATGTTGGAGAGCAGCTGTAGCTCAAGTTCCTCTATCTTTAATAAATGCGTAAGGCTCACAGTTTTCTTAGAGGCAAGGATCAAAAAGAGTATGCTGTTTTTAGGTTGTTTTCAAAGAATTTTCCAGAACCGTATCAACAGAGCAATAGAAAATAAACTGTTTACGATCCCTTACTGTAATAGAATTTTACTTAAATACCATACAATCAGTGTAATGATCCAAAGTGGTATAACATCCCTTTCATAGAATTATAATAAAAAATGGACTTATATTTTCACTCAATTCCAACTTGCAATGACCCTGTTTCACCTATAAACTATCTTTAGAATTCTAACTTGAGTCCTGAATTATTTACCAGCCTTTTGCACTGTTCTCATTTCTACCTTCTTTATCTGTTTGGATTTTATCCCTCACCTTTGAGGCTTTACTGCTCATTTTTATTAATAAAAGCTTCAGGAATGGACATGCCTGTTTTGTTTGCCACTGTCCCAATCATCACCTGGCATGCAGTAGATACCCTCTGAGGTACGTAAGGAATGGACTCTGTCCATCGAGGGTTGTCATGCATGATAGCAGTTACAAGCACCGGCTCCACAGCGAGAGTGAATTCAAACCCAGGCTCTGCCACTTCACAACTCTGTGGGCAGGTTCCTTACACTGTTCACCTTCCTAATATGTTGAGGTGGGTAGAATGCCTTTGATCTCATATAATCATGTGAGTACTGAGTAAAGCACCTGGCAAAATAAAAATATGTATCAGGGAGAACAAGAATGACACAGGAGGGCAGACTGAAAGGGATGAGCTGCTCAGCACCGGATTAACTGGCACTGGAGTAACAACTCAGGCACCAGGGACCACCAGTAATCAACACACTCCAGGAATGGGAGGTGGGAATAGAAGGTAGGGAGGGGAGTTTCAGAGGTGGAGGTAACAAGGGTTTAGTCTGCCGGGGGCTCCATGAAATAGCCTCCTGCACTAGTCTGTTACTTTGGCCCCTTTGAAGGACGTGGAGGTTGATTCTGCATTTTAACGTCTTAGAGATAGGTAAGGGCAACTTTCTTACTGGAAACGTAACCGGGCTGCTTGATTTAGGATGCCCTTAGCCCTGAAAACAAGGAGCCACTGTTAACACCTGCCAGATAGTTTTCAGTGAAGTCCCAAATTGATTTATTTCTAATTAGGAAAAAAATATATTAGCAGCACTGCTTATTTCAATCATGAGGCTAAGGTACTAATAATTTTAACATCATGACAGCAAAAATACAGTTGCTGTTTTTTTTTTCTGTTTAAACTGAGTCTCTAAAATGAGGCCAGAAATGTCAATTGAGTACACAATAGATGTAAGCATCTCAATTCATTTTGTAGAATGATGGAGGTAAAATAGGCATATGTATGAATTTGGTAGAGAAAAAGTATCTGCTGGGAAAGGAGGACTATAGTTATAAACAGTTCATATTTGGCTATTTTTCAGAACTGTTTGAAGCTAACTTCTGCCACATTTTTAAGAACATTTGGCAGTTTATCAACGGATACCTATCAAGTAATTCTATTGAGGAAACTAATTGACTTGGTGTGGGGAAGTTGGGGTTCCTATGGCCAGGATACTCACTGAACTTAAACCACCTGGTGATGTAACTGGCCTGTTGCTAGGCTACCACTTCCACACCTTTCGGCGATAAGCTATTATCCCGCTATAGAGAGAGCTCGGCCCAGTGCTCTGGGTGGAGGCAGAGATGCTAGTGCTTCGTCTACTGCCGGGAGAACAAGCTGGATAATAAACCCATTGGCAAGACAATTGGTGAAAGTTGGCAGAGTTCATTGTTGACCAAGGGAAAAGGCTGCCCTTATGGGAGGGGTGCTTCAGCGGGCCGCCCCTGTGAATGGGGATACAGTGGATTGTCCCCCATTGGGTATGTGGTCTGAGGTGGCTTGCCTCCTAGAGGACTGGGTCCCAGGACTGGAGGCAAGTGGAGGTGATACCTGAGGCGGTAGGGGTAGCTCTTGATATAGTAAGTAGGTCTTTTGAAAGACAGAGCGCCCGTGAGGCAGCAGGGCCTGTGGGTTGGCTGCTTCTCACAGTATTAAAGAAGTCTACAGAAGAGAAGGACATGCTCCCGAAAAAGACCCAAGAAATGGAGGCACAAGAACGTGAGCTGCAAACTTCTGTGGATTCCCTGGAGAAGGAAATGGCATTGATGCGAGAGGAGGCAGCACGAGGTGCCATTGAGGAGGTAAACAATTCTCTACAGAATGAGACGGCAGTGCTGCCAGGTGCTCTGAAGGAGGAAAAGGCCATCAAGGAAAAAGATGAACTCCTGAGGGAAGCACAGGCGGAGGTGGCACGAGAATACCAGCTGCGAAGCATTGAGGTGCAGGTAAGAGAGCTGCTGAGGACTGAGGTGGCATTGCTGCGAGGCATGGCAGAAAAGGTAAAGGTTGTAGCAGAGGAGGCACTGGGGGAGGGGAGAGAAAGGCGCCTTCATCCCTGGAAATGGAGGCGCTGGGGAAGGATGAAGAGGTGGGGCTGGAGGCACTGACCCCTTCTATATTGAAAGCACACCCAGTGGTTGTAAAGAAAATAAAGACCCAGCAGCCAAGAGTTCCCCAAGGAGAGGAGCAGCCCCCTCCCCAGGTCGTGGAGCTCTCTATGCTCCGCCCCTGTACTCAGGCTGAGCTGGTGGATTTGGGCTCCTGGTTTAGGCATGAGCCCTCAGAGTCAATATCAGCTTGGCTCCTGCATCTGTGGGACTTAGGGGTGGATGGAATTGTTCTGTCGGGAGCAGAGATGGGAAAGCTGTCTTCCCTGACAGTGCAGCCCGCCTTGAGGCAGTGATTACAAAATGCACATCAGACCCCAGGGAGTCACTCCCTCCTCGACTGGCTTATGGCTGCACTTTGTGCTGTGTGGCCCAATCTGGGTGATCTGCCATCCTCTTCTGTTAGATGGCAGATGTATGCTGAGCTCCAACAGGTGCTACGAGAGCTAGGCATAAGAAATGCCATCTGTAGTCCAGAGAATTATAACCCAGATGAAGAGATTTTCACTACTGGGATGAGAAATATTGTACTTCAAATGGCTTCCACATCCTTCTTTGGGTCTCTAGTGGCCATTCTTTCCCCTCACTTAGGGCATCCCATAAGCAGGGTGAGATGTACAGTCAGACTTAGGAGAGGCTGAAGCAATGAGAACCCTGAAAGAAATAAGACCTGTTACTCACAAGAATAATTTACAGGGCCCCATGAAGGTTATAAGGACTCAGATGTGGGCTGGTTTAATATTGGCAGGAGCAGATGGAAGGAAATTTGATGGGAAGTCAAATAGGATCTTACTGGAGCTATGGCAACGGCTGAAAGCTGAGCAGCAGTTCCAGCCATTAAGACCAAAGAGACAGAGGTCAGAGACAGAGCCACAAGTCCGGCCTGTCTGTGTGTTTGTTTGCAAGACTTCCTGCTGGAGAGCAAGCCAACCTTACTTGAGCCCACACAGGAAGATGATTCGGGGACACGGTTTGACTGAGGGGAAGGTCAAGGTATCTGCCCTGAGAGACCAGGGGGGGACCGGAGGCCACGTGGTGAAATAGCTATCCATTGGTTCCCAGTGAACATACGTGTCCTGGCTCAGTGGACATGGGCTGAATGTTCAGATTCATGGTGACCCTGAACGGTTCCCCCAGCCCTCCACTATCATAGATGGATATGAGGGCACAATTCTGAAGCCCTTATACTGGTTGGTATGAAAGGGCATCGGGTGGGACTGGGATGAGACATGTGCATCTGCCTTTACTGCAGCAGAACGGGCAGTCAAGGCTGTGCATGCCTTGAGTGTGATAGAACTATCAAGCCCCTGTGAGCTGGATGTTCATGTGACTGAAAACGGTTATGGCTGGAGTCTCTGGCAGCAGCTTGAACGAACTCACCAACCTGTTGGATTCTGGTCACAACTCTGGAAAGGGGTCGAGGTATGATACACTTTGATAGAGAAACAACTGGCTGCTGCTTATCATGCTTTGCTGGTACAGAACCCTTCACTGGTATGGCCCTGATAAAGGTAATAAGCACCTATTCCATCTTGGGGTGGGTACAAGACTGGACCCAAAAGCCAAGGTGTGGCACAAATGCCCACATTAGCCAAGTGAGGTGCTTACCTACAGCAGCATAGTGCCCTCAATAGTAGCCCCTTGCGTGAAGAACTCCAACACTTACTGGGGCCAGTGACATATACAGTGAAAAGCAGGAAGAACTTGCCTTTAAACCATTAGTAGCAGAGAGTCCCTATCGGGAGGGAAGAGCCCCTATACCCAAAGATGCATGGTACACAGATGGCTCCAGCTGTGGGCAGCCCCCAAAATGGAGGGCCATAGCTTTCCATCCTAAGACTGAGACAATATGGATGGAAGATGGTGAGGGGAAGAGCAGCCAATGGGCAGAGTTGCAGGTTGTGTGGCATGTGATCAGTCTGACATATAGTTGTCTGCACTGACAGCTGGGCTGTCTATTGGGGCTTGACCCTGTGGCTGCCAACCTGGTACCATGCCAACTGGCTGGTTGGTCACTGACCCCTTTGGGGGCAAGAACTGTGGCAAGACTTATGGGCCTGTGGTCAGACTAAAATAATTACAGTATACCATGTGACAGGTCATTTGCCACTGGCATCCCCAGGAAATCACGAAGCAGATAAACTGGCCCAGATCTGTTGCTTAGAAGGAAAGCCTGCCTCTGATGTAGCCCAAGGGTTACATCAATGTTTGTTGTGTGCGGGGCAAAAGACAATGTGGGCTGTAGGCCATCGGTGGAACTTGCCTTTGACCTTTGAGGAAGTTAGTAGAGCCCAGCAGGAGTGTTTCATGTGCTCCAAAAGGGACTTACACCGAGTTCCACAGCAACATGGGACAATAGCTATGGGGCCTATACCCCTCGTCAGGTGGCAAGACTATATTGGGCCTCTACCTGTGTCAGAAGGATATTGGTATGCTATGACTTGTGTGGACACAGCTACTGGACTTCTGGTTGTTTTTCCTACCTGTTGTGTGGACCAGCAGACGACCAAGAGGCCTGGAGCATCTCTTTGCTGCCTATGGCTGACCACAGGTAATTGAGAGCAATCAGGACACCCTTTTTTACTTGCTATACACTGCAAGATTGGGTGTGACAGCTGGGAATCAAATGGAAGTTTCATGTGCCATGCAGTCCTACCGCAGCAGGCATGACAGAGAGGCACACTGGCTTGTTAAAATCTGTACTAAAGTCAAATACCAATAGTCTGTGGGGATGATCAGTCCACTTACGGACCATGCTACAGTGTTTGAATGAGACCCCGAAAGGGAGCCCTGAAGACATATCAACACACATGGCTGCCTCCCCTATTCAACTAAGTACAAACCAAGGAAGAATCACTGAAGCTGAGGTTCAGCCACCAGAATAACATCTTGCTGCCAGCACCAACTGCACTGAACCCAGCAGACTCCATTGAGTGGACGTGGCCTTGGACCTTTCAACACATGGACCAATGATGGCTGGCTCTCCTGGCACCTTGGGGACAAGGCCTGGAAGCTGGCCTCCTGTGTATTCCTGGAATAACAGCAGAGTGGCCACCAAAGGTCACAGTATATCCTGAATGGCCAGAAGGTAGGAGCACTTACTGGGAGTTTTATCATTAAGGCCAGTGCATGCAGCTCCAGTGGCACTATATATAGACCCTTCAGTAACCCCCATGGGGAAAGGAGTAAAAGTGTGGAATACTAGACCTGGAAGGGACCCCCTCCTGCTACAGTCCTATCACAGGACCACTCTCTTGCATGCATCCTGATGGACAAGATTTGCCTATGTTGGTGTCATTAAAACGTGTCTTTTTGCCCCTTAAGTCTTTGTGGATTGGGAACTTCCTCTGGCTTGAGGATTATTATAATTTGTTACCTGTATCAACATCTTGTTGTATCTTAATTTTTGTTATTATCTCTTTTAAGTTGTTATCCTCTTTTGCTATTGTGGAATCTGGTTACAGTGCTCCAGCTTTCTCACACAGGGACCATTGCGGAAGATTGAAAGCGTGTATTGTTAAGGCGAGAATCCTGGAGGTGAGAGGTGTACTGCTTCCACACCTTTAGGCAGTAAGCTATTATTGCACTACATAGAGCTTGGCCCAGTGCTCTGGGTGGAGGCAGATATGCTAGTGCCTGACCTACTGCAGGAGAACAAGCCGGGTAATAAACCCATTGGCAAGACACTTGACCTCTTGGCTTGCATATTAATTCCCATGTTTAACTTTCCAGTGTTAATACATTTTCTTAGCTCCTTTTTGGGATCTTCACCGAGGAGAAAAGCACATGCAAAAGGCCTTCCTGAGTTTGCATGTATCCCCTCCCAACCCCACACATCCTGCACACTACTTTCCCTAATAACCATTGGCTCTCATGACACTTGCCAGTAATCACTTCAGAGGTGCATGTGAAGCTGTTAGTCCTCCACAGCCTAACGAGAAAACTACAACTGGGGTCTTGACAAGGCTACCCAGAGCCACTTCCATTTGGCCCAGTTCTTCTAAAAACCAGGACTTGCTCAAATTAGCTTCTCCTGGCCATGCAGTAGGTAGCTCCTGCTGGACACTGGCTGTGCATGCCCTCCAATCCTGCTTTGCACATGCTGAGAATCACACAATCTCCTTGACTATTTTTTTTTTTAAAGCTTGAACACTTCCTTAAGAGAAGAAAATAAAGAGTGGGTAGATGAGGATAGGGTCCAGTATTTGACAGGTTTCCCCATCTGCAATGAACCAATTTATTCAAATCATTACAGTAAAGTGAGTCATTATTTATTGCTACTAGGAAAACCAAATAGGACAAGCATACTAAACTGGCTGTTTCCAAACTGCAGTTCTTCAACAGGGTAGATTCTGTCGAGCAGTTTGGCAAACTTCCCTCCAAACCTTTCCCCTTCACTGAGATTTGCAACACAGCATAAGATGTATTCTGAGAACTTCTTAAGCCAACTATACTTATTTTATATTATTTTAACTTTGATTTAACCCACAGGTTCCCAATCACATGTGAGCACAAAATACTTTTCAAAGCACATCTACAAACATCAGTGAAACAGCATCTAAGAAACATCAGGTAAGAAATGGTGCTTTTAATTTATAACACCAAACTCAAGGAAAAATCAGAAGACAGTATGGCAGAAAGAAGTATATTTTATTGTTTCCTGCTACTCAAATGCAAACTATAATTCCAATGATACCATGAACAATTAGGATACATATTGAGTATTTTCAGAGATCAGCTTCCACATCTTGATCACTAAGTGCAAAGATTCTTCAGAAGAACAGTCCCTTACCCTACATACAGAAGGAGAAGAAAAATTAAAGATGCCGTGATGATACCAATCAAGATAACTGGAAAACATTTTAAAAGTCAATTTAGCATACAATATCGACATATTGAAAACACAAATATTTCTATAAGGATATTCCATCTGGGGAAGAATGATACAAATTCATATTATATATTTGAACTAGGATACTACAAAAGAAAAAGATTTTATGAAGTCCAATTTCTAATGATGTCATTATTTAACTAATGTGAGGAAATTACATGTTTGAATATCTGGCTTCTTTCTCATCTCTAGCATTTAAAAGGGCATTCCTTAATTGCTTGGCTTAAATTTGAAGGCGTATTGATTCCTTGTTTCAGTACAGAAATTTTACTTCTGCCCAGTCAGCTAGAGTTTTGCTGCAAAATGATAAACTTCAGGTAAAGCATAGGAGGAGGAATGCAAAAATGGAACAAATCAGAACATATATTTCACTACCTTTACTACATACCATCAAACATACACACATTTTTTGTATTGTAAAAATGTCCCGAGTATGTGTTAGATTTAGGAAGGGCAGTAACACTACAATGGCAAAAATAAAAACTATTATTTTAAAATTATTTTCAGAGAAGTGGAATGAAATGAGACACTGGGGAATAATGAAATAGGATGCTATTAATAAGGATTTAAGGGTGAATAAAAATATTAGAAGAGTCTTAAAATTCATGACAAAATACGCTCTCCACTTCTAAGCCTAGAAATTCAACCTAATTTTTTATTATCTTCAAGAATAAGATCCATCTAGAGCAGTGTCTAAAATGTATATGGCTTTCTAGATCTGTTATTTCCCCACCTACAGAAAGAACTATGACAGCTTTGAGATTATGTCCTAAGACTTATGAACCCTGCAGTCTGACAATTACCCAATTATAATTTTTGCCACAAAATGTAACAAAATAGAAACTTCATGAGCAATACCGTATTTGAAAACCGAAGAGCTACTCTGAATGCAGGTTAATAAGCATTACTCACTCACTAAATGACCTCAATGTAACAGACGTTTTGTGGAGTTCCTAATTTCTACTCAGCAAAATTATAAATTCTAAAAAAGATCATGTATGCGTATATAAAAATTGTTTTAAGCTCAAGGAGATAAATCTAGGAAGGCTAAACTTGGTGGTCTCACAGATCTACAGTATTATCATCTCTCACTTCCCTTAAGTGGAAATGGCTCTGAACATTTTATTTTCAGACCATGACTGCAGCACTTGTTTAAAACAAAGTTACCGAAGGTAAGTTGAGGAACAGAACAAGGAAGTGAACAGTGTTCTTAAAATTACAGTTTCTATTCTTTTGCATCTGCCAAGGAAATAAGACACCTGAATCCTATGCTCTTTTGGTGCTTGCTGTTTTTCTAACAAACCTTAGGAACCTATTTTGACAATCATGTCATGTGGAATCTCATCATCCAAGAGTCTTGTACAAGGGGACGGAAGAGTGGAAGAGCGGGGAGAGGCAGGTAGCATGGTAACGTAAGCACGTCACAGATGGACACAACAGCACTACTGCTCTAAGTACCAACATTAACAAAACCCAGATCATAACGCTGAAAACTAAGGACTTCAGACAAAAAAATAAATGGAGTTTGTTTTTTCTTTAAATCTTTTATAGGACAGAAACCTTAGCTCATGTCTTCTGGTTGTCATCATCGTCCACTGAACTGCACCTACAACACAAAGAACAAGTAACAAGCAACTTTGTTTTTTAAAGATCACGTAATAGTCTTGAAGGCATAAGATGATGAACTGTTTCTAGTGGAAGTTAACTTACTTAAATGATTATATATAATGAAGCCATGAAAATCACCACAAGTATCAAAAGGTTAGCTATTTTGAGGGAAACTATAAGACTTGAATATGCAGCATATTATCACCAAAATAAAGTAAATAATGGTGGGAAAAATCACTATCTGTTTCAAATTAAGGCAGAAAAGCTGCAACTGTGATGCCTTACTGACAAGGCTTTGTTCTACCTGAAGATGGAAACCACCTTGTATTTATTTTAGTAAGTCTAAACCATGAAGAGACTGGGTGTAGATTCAAAGTTGGCTTAATATATCATCTATCACCTTCCTGTAGTTCATTTCATGTCTTTAAATGGAGCAAAACCCACCAGAAGAATGCTGCTATTCTGATTTCCATTCTTGAATGCACCAAAATGTGCATGCTTGTTGTAATTAGGTGCCTGGGTGAATAAAAAAATCCCATTTACAATTTAAAAATATTATTTAAACCCCCCAAATCTGATTATTTTCCCCATTCCTCAGGGAAACAAGCATTAATTTTACCACCCAAACAGAAAAGATTACATACATTTCTGAAAGTTCTTTTCTACCATGTTAAAAATATGAATTCCTTTGTGTTGCAAAACCAAGCCGATTTACATGATTTTTTTAAAACTGTTGCTAAATGTTTATCTACACATGCTGTCAGAAATAACCTTGTTAAGAAGGTGAAGCTGGTGTCTCAGCAAATCAGACCCCTTGGAGAAGGCGTTGAATGGCCTGTGCCCCGTTTTCCTTTTTTCTCTTTCCGCACCATCAAAAGGAAAAGTGAGAAAATAGCAGAAACATTAGTTAAATCCTGAATTATACGCCATAACCTATAGGAATTATTTCACTACACTGAAGACTGACAATACTGGTAGGATTTTTTTGATGAAATAATTAGGATCCTAATTATTAATAAAATGATAAACTTGTGGCTAGGTTTATATCTTTAACAAATAGTTCTTTTAAGTTAACGACTTAAAGGAAGAAACAAAAGGTTGCTTTTAACTATTTATGGTTTACCTGACTTACCAGCACTGAAGACAAAAACTTTTAAAAATGGCTACAAATGCCTTGTTCACAAAAGACTTTATTACCTAGTGATGCATACTGAGAACATACAGAAATCTGCATGGTCCACTTCACATGCAGCAGAACAATCTTTACTTTACAATAAGTGAGTGTCAACTGTTTTATGCAATAGACAACACTTTAAAGTCACATTCTTAAAGAAAAGCTTCATTTACAAAAGAAATAAAAGGTAAAGAAGCAATTACCGCTTTTAAAAAGCAGCTGCTTTGTTCAAGAGTGGAAGGTTTATGCCTGTATTGAAAGACAACATGATCACAAATAATGAAAACAATGAACAAATGAAAAACACTTTTACCATAAAGCAGTACACTTTCAAAATGACATACAAATAGTTAAAAATTTCATTATGTTTGTCTATCTAACTTTTAAATATGAGGACTTTCAGAATTAGGCCTCAACATTTATAATTAGTAAATGAAAACTACGCATTGTTTCTGTCACTAAGAACTGTATTTAACAAAATGTATATAAAGTCTATAGCAAGTTGATTTAAAAAAATCAAAGTTAATAAGAAACAGTACACTGAAGGCGCTCTATCCATCAAGCGCATACTCTTCAAATTTTAAATGTGATAAACAGAACAGAAATTGTAACTATGCCACAGTTGCAATGCCAAAAAATACAAGATCAGCTATCACACATGCAGGAAATTCTGCCACAAAGCTAATATCCCTCATTTGTCAATTGTTCCAATAAAGTAACATCTTAAAACACTAGTGATGTTGATGGTTTAGCTTACCTTCAGTGTACTGAATGTTGTACACAACCTGCTTTAAAAGAGGAGACCATCCCTGCAGGCAGGCTCAAGAAGGAACAGACCCCTTTCGGCACTGACTACACCAAGGGCATGCTGCTGTGGCCTGCACACACACACCTAGGAAAATGTGAATATAAACAGCATTTATGCTGGCCATTTTATCTGAAGACCAAAATGAAGCCAAGTTTGCTAAAAATAAATCAACCACCCAGCATTACTACTTTATAACAGATGCTTTTGTCTTTTATGTGAACTGCAATCATTTACATAAGCACTGTAATTCTGTGCAGTCTTGGCAATTAAAACAGTTCTACAGTGAAATTTCACATAAGACACAAAACAGATTAACTAACATTTCTAAAAGAAATTATCACCCTTGGTGTTAATTCAAATATATCATGCCTCCTCAAATTTGCTGGAGAAATATTTATAAGTTTATATACATTAATAAACTGCTGTGAAATTTCTTCAGTCTTTGTATTTAATTACTCAAACCCTTGGCGCTTCTTCATCTCGTTTAAATTTTTTCCTGGATGAAGGCATGCTGCAGGGCCTGGTTGATGCTAATCCGTTTAGCTGGGTCCAACATTAGGATCTGGTCCAACAAGTCCTTTAGCTGGTGCACTTTTTTTCGTTGGTCTTCAGGAAGTCTCTGGCACCCAATCAAGTCAGCCAACAGGTCCTTAGTTGGATTAATGGTACTCATGACAGTAACTTTCTCCTAAAATAATTTTAAAAATGTGTATCTCTAAGTAAGTTAATAAACACCTATAACTTAAATCAGACTGCTTTATGTATTAAAATATTTCTAAGAATATATATCTCATCTACTCATTTAAAAGGTTCATGTTGTTTCCTCTATCTTCTACATTTTCTCAAGAAGCAATCAATAACTTAATGAGAAAGGTCAACCCCGTTACCTAAGATCGGTTTTTAAAAAATTCTGTAATTTAACTTTGAAAAAAATAAAAATGACAACAGAAAGGAATTCTAAGGGAATTCAAAAACATAAGTAACTAAAAATCAACAGTAAATACTTGTTGTTTGAACTATATTTTACCTACCCTGCAGAGGTAACAGACAGACATGCAAACAAGTAGAAGCCATGACATGTCAGTAAGTGCTCTGACAAAGTCAGGAACACAAAATACAATGGGGAAAATAAAGAACTACTTATTTCAACACAGAAGCTTTAGAAAGGTTCATAAAGAATGCGTATTTCACTTGCTTGAAATTCAATATATTTGGGGGTGGTGGTGCAAATAAAGTTAGGATGGTCTGTGAACAAAGCCACAAAGGTCTGAAGCAGCATGTCCTTCAGCTAACTGCCAAGTGTGGAATGGGGTTTACATAGTCCTAAGGAGAGGGACACTGCTGAAGATGGCAGAATTCATATTACAGAGGACTTGGTTACTCCGAGGAATTTAAATATATTATCTTACAGGTAAAAGAGAACCAACAAGGGTTTTTTTTAAAGCAGGGAGAGTAACATGATTAGATTTTTCAAAAGGATCACTCTGGCAGCAGTACAGAAGCTGGATGGGGAGTTCAGAGCAAGGAAGTGATCCAAAGGAGAGAGAAAGACGGCCTAAACATGACTTATTATAATGAAAATAAACTCATTATACTAGACAGACATTTTAAAACATATTCTTTTTCATAACCTGATGTGTTTTACTCAGGAATTGGCCAATAGAAAAAAGGGATTATTTTTAGTGTTTTAAAATATTCATAGCTCCTAGTACCACCAGTACTCAATTCATTATCAGTAAGACAGTCATTTAATGTAGCACACTTACAAAAGACTTACCCTCTCTGTTACTTTATCAACTTCTATATACATGAAGTTGAGGTTTTGATCAAAATGTTGGTCTTTGAATACACCTTTCCGAATCATCTGGCAATAAAAAAGAACAAAATCTGAGTTTTGAACTATCATGAAAATCTGGCCTACTAACAACTTAATACCTAACAAGTTAGAGAACTATTATTTAGTCTGAGTCTCTCATTTAAAAATGATTTTAGATCCCTTGCTCTGGAAAGCCTAGATTATCATCTTCAGAAAAACTAATACAGATGCTGTACCTAAAACTACTTAAGAACATGAAATTATATTATCCCAGGCAGTGACTTAAACTTATAATTCCAAAGTTTTGCTTTCATTCATCAAAACTGAGGATTACACAAAGACTTAAAATAATTTGTTTTTAGATAGGAAAAATAATACACAACTGGGGCCTGTTCTCTTAGCAACTGAGAAACATTTTACAAATAATGTTTCAACAGCTCTAAAGTGATACAGGTCAGAACTCATTAAAACAAGTATCAACATAGCGAATTTCTGTATGAGTTACTCTAAACAAGTCCAACATAACAGAATTTGGACAATTATCTAAAAAATGTAATGGCTTCTGAACAATTCAGAGAAATATCTGAACTATTCAGAAATTCAGCAAACAGGCTAAAATCTTAAAAGTCTAAGCTCTGGCTCACAGGTGTTTTTATAAATGCCTAAAACTCTCGTTTTGTGTTAATCAAACAAACTGATACTATAGGTGAAGCATTAAAGGTAAGTTTTATGTTAGATGTCTTTCAAGTGAATCTTCTTGGTACCTTCCTTTTCCAAACAACTTCCACTCCTTAATAAATTGACAGCTGCTAGATTCCCTTTCCAACATCCACCCGCTCACCCTCTGATCATTGGGCCCTTTCCTCACAGCTAACTAACCTGACCTTCATCTTTCTCATTCCAGCTCTCGAGCATACTTGGTGCTGTTACCAGTAAGGCTCTGCTCCCAAGAGTATTGCTGCTTCTCTGCCCATCATTCAAGGACAATAAATAAAACAAGGGAAGAACAGAGATATCAGTCATATATATGGTGCTTAACAAATTTATGCTCATCAATTCTCTCTTCTTCAATTCCAATTCTACCCTAAACTATAGGCCTCTATCCTCCTGTTTTATTCAAGAGGGTAAAGAAAAGAACAAAGACTTTAGAGGGGAAAAGGGAAATGGAATCTTTTATTCTCTTTAGATAGCTCTTGGCTGATTAGAACCATTAATTAAAACAGCAGAAATGAGAAAGAGCTAAAGAATAATAGCCACACACCTGCTTCTCTGAAATTGTTTAATAGTCACTAGTAAGGAATAAGTTGTCAGCAATCTGTCAGAATACAGGAAACTATTACTAGACCCTGAAAAAAAAACAACTTGCACAAATGTCCTACCTTATTTGGCATCTTTCCTTTGAGATCCATGGCGAGCTTCAACATATGGTTATTGGTTTTGCCAGGAAATAAAATTTTTCCAGTATAGAGTTCATATAAGGTACAACCTACCGACCACATATCTATGCCATAGTCATAACTTTTACCTATAACTGAAAACAAAATAGAAGTTTTAGTATATGACAAAATCTACTACTATTTACTTCCATTAATGGGGGATTAATTTAGCTTAGACTATATAATCACAATCTTAATACTTCACTTTGGATTTAGTTTCATGTTCTTTTCCACTATTCCTTAACAGTCTTAAATTTAAAAATTTTAAGAAATGAGGGAGTGGGGAAGGAACTGAAGGGGCAAAAGAAAACGTTTCTTTTTTTTTTTTTATTTCACCTTTGGTGGAGTTGCTATCAGCCTCAAGGAAGGCAACAGGAAGAGGAAAAAACAAAGGTCCCATACAATCCATAAATTTGATAATCAGACCTTGAGTAATCAAGAACAGTCTTCTAAAGTTGAAGATTTTCCACAACTGTTTTGCTACTCTTGCCAGACATGATCAAGACTCCTGTCACAACTACCATCATTCCACCTGAGGAGGATGAACTTGCTATGGTTCCCTTCCTCCTCAATGACCTCGTGCAGCGGCTGAAGTGCGATGGAAAAGAGTACTTAGACATTAAATATGCTGTTTCCACTGCGTATGATAGCCCAGGTCAAAGAACATTGGAAGAAACTTACTGATCTCAGGAGCACGATAAAATCTACTGACAAGATAAGGCGTTATATCATTATCCGCAACATGTGAGGCCGAACCAAAATCGCAGAGCTTTAAAATAGTTTTTGATTCGTTAACCTGCAAAACATTTTATCATTGAAGTTTTAATTCATGCCAGGAATAATTACGACACATAAAACAGTTGTCTTTGAGAAGTTATTTCCAATACTGAGAACAAAGTTGCTTATTTTAAAATTCCTTTTCTAGTTATAACTCAATTTCCTAAGTATGGAAAATTAAGAGCTCTAAGTATCTGAACATAATTAGTTAAAAAAATTTTTTTTCCCCAAAAAGTGAGGAGATATGGGCTAATACCAAGTAAATTTTATTTTTAAAAATGCTCTTTAGAAAAGAGTAGAGAAGAGAAATACCTCACTGGAGCAAGGTACCATTTAAAAATCTCCAGTATATCTGAATAAGATAAAGTTACTACTTATAGGAACATGAAGATGTTCATTGCTCAGGAATCAGACCTAGATTAACTTTCAGCTGACTCAAGTTAACTTTCAGTTGCCAGAAAATTATGACAGCAAAGGAAGCAGTATGATCCAGATTAAACTGGGACAAAAATGATGTAAACATTCTTCATCCGAAGCTGCCAGACCATCCCAAATTTAGCAATCACTTCAAGTGTAAATATATTAAATTCCTTAAATATAAAGAAGGTATTAGTCAAGAAAATGTTAAGTATATTTGGCAAAACTGATAAACTCTATATTAGTCATTTGTTTTTTTCCTTTGTAAATACTTCCACATACACAGTAACAGTGACATCTGCTGAGAAAGGCTGGAGGTGCTCCCTTGACTGCTGCCACTCATGAGTCAGAAGCATGTTCAGGACTAACAAGTGAAGATAATTCATATTCCAGAGTCCCTTCCCCCCTTCAAAAGAGACACACACAAATTCCGAGTTGGGACTTGAACTTGGCCTAAGGTTCCCATCCCAAAGAACGTAACACTTTAAATAAACAGGCCCAGGCACTCTACTGGAATATCACAAAGCTCAGTCAGTGTTAGAGACTGGTCTCTTAGAGGATATCCACAGAACTAAGCTAGTAACAGAAAAGATTAATTTTAACTGTCACATCAGTAACCATGCTCTTCCTCTGGGGAATCAGTAAAACAGGCATCCTCAAAAAGAAAAGCACTTTTGAAGCCTTCTGATGTACAAACTGCATTCAGCTACTTAAGAAACTTAAAAAAAAAAAAAATCAGTGGAATTCTTGGGCTGACCAAAATGCCTGAAGAGCAGTGTATCCACACGTATGTGCACCTGGGTTTGGCTACACTTCTATTCCCCCATGACACATGTGTATTTAACCACGCTGATGGTTGAAATTACAGATAAAAAAGCTTTGTTTCATTAACAAACAGCTCCATGTGGTCTCTCATGCCCATTTTTTTCTTCCTCAGGAAGGAGAAACATTTGTGTCTGGAGTTCATGGGAAAACCTGTACTAGTTTGGCTTTAACTCAAAGGAAAATGAAATTTTAAGAATAGCATGTTAGATACTGGCAACTGTCTTATTCTTTAACCTCCACGGCAGCCACACAGATGTTCACTATATAATCAGCTTTAAATTACCTGTATGTTTTATACATTGTTTGGTATGGATGTTATGTTTCACAATTTTGAGAGAAAAAAGGTAAAAATCCACTATGAAGTTGACTCGGCATGTCTACAGTTCATTCATAATATACCTACCATTTCACTGTGGTTACTCAGCATCTTTAAAAGTTATGACTTTATTTACCTAGACCATATGTATTAAAATGCAATGCCTCATTATTAATGTGGTAGTCTGGAAGGAAATATTTTAAGGTATTAAAAAAGAGGAAAAAGAGAAATCTGAACTAAGAGCTAAGTTACTGATAAGGAGTCCTTAATAAACTTTAATGGGATCACCGTCTTTTTAAAGTATGGAACATGTTATTGGCAGATTATCTAGGAATCCCCATATTGTGAACATTACTTCAGTTCTAACCACAGACTAAGGTGAATAAATGAGACCAGGAAGGAAGAGAGGAGAGAGAGAGAGAGAGAGAGAGTGTGTGTGTGTGTATTAATCATTTCACTATGATAGTATGTTTCTATTATTTCAAAAAATAAACACTGTATGAGGTAAAGACAGTGAAAGGGATGCCTTTCAATACAACACCTAATCACAACTGAGATTTACTGTGTTTGGGCCCCTAGAAGCCACAGCTTTTAAAGCAAAAAAAGTGAAGGAAAAAAGAATTACTCCCAGGCACCTTTAAACTAAACTTATCTGTTTAAGAGAGGGTAATCCCCTTAAATGCCTCTAGTTCTGTCAGTCCATAAAATTAGAGTTCAAGAACTGTGAACATCTCTAATTTCAAAACATGTGTAGCATTTTTTATTTAGATTACAGAGGAAGGCCATTACTAAATTAAAGCACTCTTGGGATTTGTGAGTACTCTAAATTCACCAATCAAAAGGAAAAAAAGTAATATCCTGAATTATTGTTCTACTATATTACTTCTAGAATAATACAAGTTGTAATCACATTATTGTTAAGAAGTTAATGGATGTAAAAGGCAGCCTGACCGACTTACCAGGATATTGTCTGGCTTGATATCTGCATGTAGGATATTGCACCTTTTAAGGAGTTTCAATGCCAAGAACAACTGCTGACTATAGGACCTGACAGCTTTAATATGGAGACCAACATCCTTACCATATTTTTTTAACACCTCTCGTAAATTCATACTTTTAGGGGAGAGAGGAAAACAAAACACAAAATTAGGGGTTAAAATGCAAATTATAAATAAGGCAAAAACACCTTCAAACATCAAGTAAAATCAAATCCAAAATATGAATTACAATGAATCCCTACCCAAACACGTGATAAATTATTCAGTCAATGACAGGAGAGCTTATGAAACTGTGTATATAACATAATTTTCCAATAAAACTCCGTTTCCAAAATAAAAGGGAACACATGCAATGATAAAATTTCTCATGATTTTAGAATGGGTTTACATTTCAAAGCCCAAAAATGAAGCCATATTTTTGAAGGCCAAAATCAAATTTCTACTCCACTACCCACAACTCTTTTCATTCTGGCTTAATCCTTGCTGGAAATATTTAATTTTCAGAGAATCTCTATTGAATGAAGGCTACATGGGAAATAATAGTGTCTGGCACATAGTAGGCAGTCACTTAATGTTTATACATTGATTGCCAAGTAACTAGTTTTCAACCAAAAGTTAAAAAACAAAAACAAGGGCTAACTAGAAAAAATAAAAGTACCCAGAAAATTTGTCAGGGCATTAATTCAAATGAGGTTGGTAGAGATAAGGCAGCTAAATTTTCAGTTTTATGTGCAGGGCTGACACTGTACCTTAGAGGCTCAAATACAAGACAAAGATGCTGTTTGTGATAAAAGTGTCGGAAAAGTCGCAAACAATGAAATTTGTCATCAGGATCAGCATCGTTAAGTTTTTTCAAGAATTCTAGTTCCTTTAAACCAGTTTTTTGCCTGTAATGAAAAGAAAATAAGGTCAAAAATTGAATACAACCAAAACTAATATGTATTTTTTAGGGTCAGTCTGATGTATCAGAGGTAATGTGTTATAGTTTGTGATTTTTAAAGTGCCATTAATAAATCCGTTAAGGAATGAAAGGTCTCTATCATTAACACAATACTTTATACTTAGCCAAATACCATTTTAATGGAGTTAATTTCCAAAATAATCAATTAAGAAAACAGAAATACTAAGGAGCAAACCTAGCTTGCTTGAAGGAAAATCAGTCTTGCACATTTTATCCCAAAATATCTTGACCTTAAAATGTTTTTAAAAATGGAACCACACTGAACAGTTTGCTTCCTTTAAGAGTCTAAGAATGGTTGTCTCAACAGATATTAATATTTAATTTCTGAAAACAAAATTTCCTAAGCCTAGGGTAGCCTAAGACTAGTATCAATTTATAACACTTCTTGCTAATGTTTCAAAACCAATGGCAAGTTGCTTTTAACATTAGCTCAGTCTGTGATATACATACGGATACAGCCATTAACTCTATTCTACTAAAGGAAAAAGGCACTAGATAAAAGATACAAATAATTCCCAGAACTACATTTTCACTTTTTGCAGGCCACCATATTCTCACTGACTCTACTCAGTATGATCCTTTATTTCTCATCTCTAATCTTAAGATATTCCCAACAAAAGAAAGCCATAAAACAAGCAGTAGAAAGTAATCTAAACTGATATTAGTGCACACAGTAGGTAATGAAATGCACTAACTCCTATCAGTCTATAGTTCTAGTACTTCACAAAGAACACATGGATGGCTACAAATTAAAAATCGACTCTAAAGGAACTACTGTCATTTTATAATTGCAATACCTGTTTCACACAGACTGCGTTATACTTTTTCAAAATGGCATTAAAAAATAGGGTCATTTGTGAATACCTGTATTATTAAAGGTTTCATTACAAGTTTTTGAACTTACATGAGCTCATTGTTTCTGATGATCTTCACAGCTACTTCTTGGTTAGCTCGTGCATTATCTCTGGCTCGTACAACATTACTGAACACACCTTGACCAGTGTAGCCATACACATTGTAACGCTTGTCGAGGACTTCACCTATGTTCACACCTAAAAAAACAAATTTAAAAAATGAGAATTCTGACCATATATAACAGACTTCTCAACAAAACTGTGGGATACTCATAATAAATAGTGAACAGTGTAATCACTGAAAATGTGCCAAATCTCTAGTGTGCCTGTTTTCCTAGACACCATGGAGAATCAAAGCCGTGTCTCCACTGGTCACTTTCATAATGTGGTTAAAAGTTGTGTGCCTACTTCCAATTATGACATGAAGAGCTGCCGCTGTCCTATCAACTGCTAATGATTTTAACATTGAGTAGGAAGAAATGTGCTCAATGAAGTGTTTCTAACTGTGGTCCTGCCAGACAAACACTGCATAACTGGCATCCCAAACTCTTTGTATGCTGTTAATCTCGGTTTCAGATCAAGACGAGCAAGGCAGGTTACCCCTTCCTTCCGGAGGATTATCTCACTGCTGAAAATAACTTGAAATAGATTTAAGTTGCATATCAAGTCTTTGCTCACTTCAATCTGTGATGTTTCTTGGCTGCTTACTAAGATAAAACACGGGTTCGAACAGCTGCTAGATATGCCACACTTTAAGTGACGGCACCATGATGTGACTGACTTTCAGATTCTCCAATATGTAACTGTATTTAGACACACACCTTTTACAAAATATTAAAATGAACTCTAAAAGCAGTAAGAATTGTGAACTTACGGTAATAGCCCTCTGCATCAGTCCAGTTATCCCTGAGGTTGGGATTTTCCTTGAAATCTTTTCCAATGCCAGCAGCTCGAAGACGAGCACTCTGAAATTAAGGAGGCAACATGAGGTATTTGCCCACTAACCAGACAGCTGTGCAGAGCATTTCTTTTGAAACAAAAATGGGTGAAATCAGCTATAATTTAGTAGAAATATTTTATGCCAAATTAAACTCTTACCATCACTTATGTAAGTAACTACAATATAGTGAAAACACAATTACCAAAGTCTCTTGTATCACTGTAACGCTCAGGAAAAAAATTAACCAAGTATCTTCAAAAACTTTCAAGACTAGGGCTAGGCCATTAAAAATTAAAATAAAAAAATGTAAAACCAGATTTGATTTTCTACAGCTATTGATAGAGGAGGACAAAAATTACAGACAAGTACTCAGTTAACAGTGTCCAACTCTTTCACCTACCAAGTTTCCCATTTAATGTCAACACCCCTTGCTTCTCTCCCCATATGTGCATGAAATGTCACTAGCTGCGCTAGTTGAACTTGTCTAGGAAATTAAGAATATCTGATATTTCTGAAGAGTCATTACACATCACTCCATGATACCCAGAAAATCCTTCATACCGTCCAGACAAATACTGACTGGTGCCCATACTATATTTGGCTCAATGATCATTTCATCCTCTCTTAACCTGTCTTTTTTTTGGTGTCCCCGTTACAAAGAGTGTTACTTAAACTGATGACCAATATCTTCAGGGTTCTGAACACTGATTGCTTATCCTATTCCATTTTCAATTTCTGTGTTACATGTTTATGCTGCGGGCTTCCCCTTACCAAAGCCTCCTTATTTCTCATGTTCTCCTAAATTCATAATGAAAATGGTCTCATTATCTTGTATGTGTTTCAAGACTTTTTCAAGAAAAGGCACTAATAAAATGGCCAAAGAACCAAAATTTCTTAACCTACTTCTTAGAACATTTCCAATGTTTCAGTCAATTCTACTAGGCTCCAAATCCTTAAGTTCTCAATCACCTACAATATAGAAGCAAAGTGGACTCTGTTCTAATAAAGGATTGGAAATTGTTACCATTTTGTCTCACCTAAGTACCAGACACTTATATAAACCCAAGAATAAGTTGTTTAAAAAAAAAATACACATTTAAGTCATTTGGTGTTTTAACTTTCATAAACCTCTCAAATTGTTTTGCTGGTACTTGTTTTAAAATTTTGACCTAATTTCAGGTTTTTGAAAAAGTTGCAAAACTAGTACAAAGTTCCCTGATATCCTTCACTTAAGATTGTCCAAATGTTAACACTGAATCCTTCTATGTATATAATTAAAGTATGTATTTATTTTATTTTTAATAGTTACATCTTTATGACTTAAAATTACTTACATCAAAATATGCAGCAAACATATCATCAGATTCTGTAAACATATCAGGTGCCAACAGCTTCTTCTGAGATGAACCTTAATGGGAATTATCATTAATATTTGAAAAATGAAGAGACACAAATCAAAGCACAAGTAGTAAGTTAATGGAAAATCACTAATAGCAATTCAAACTAAGCTAGTCAATTTTTACTAAAAGGATACATTCAAAAAGTTGAAAGACCTAGTATCACTGCTTTCACCAATATTAAATTAATACGTTAACAGTTAAACATGTATGTATTAAAATGAAAACACCTTTTAAAGAATTTATATTTCTAAATTGCAAGTTAAATCTCAAAAGGTAATAAATATCTCCACTATAGATATAAATCTGTATTATTTTTCCCCTAAGAAGTCCAATAACCCTATAGAAAACTGTCCCCACCCACAAAAAAGTAATTTCTAAGAAAAAAGAGTGCAATGGCTTTAAGAATATAAATATAAATATAAACATATGCCCAATCTGACTTCTAGTAAAAGGAAGAGGAAGTTAAAATTACAACGAAATACCATTTCTCTCCTATGGGAGTGGCTAAAAATCTCGAAGTACAACTAGAAGTCCAATAACCCTATAGAAAACTGTCCCCACCCACAAAAAAGTAATTTCTAAGAAAAAAGAGTGCAATGGCTTTAAGAATATAAATATAAATATAAACATATGCCCAATCTGACTTCTAGTAAAAGGAAGAGGAAGTTAAAATTACAACGAAATACCATTTCTCTCCTATGGGAGTGGCTAAAAATCTCGAAGTACAACAACGTTTTGTTAACAAGACCCTGAATAACAAGTACTTAGACATTGTTTGTGAGATGGCAAAACAGTACAACCCTTACAGAGGGGAATTTGGAAATATTAAACAATATGACACATTCATTCACTCTCTGCTCTAGCAACTCAACTTTCCCATTCCCAAGACACAGTAGCAAGCATAAAAAAATGACTTAATACACAATGCTATTATAATTAATGCTCCAATGAAAAGCCAACTGGACACAACCCAAATATCCACCTCTGGAAGACAGACTGAATGAAGTATGACACGGTCATTACAGTGGAATAGCACACAGCTACAAACAAGGAACAATATCTTTTTATACAGATAAAAGTATATATAGTATGCATTTTTACGTGCATGTATAACAGAATACAGACACACACACACACAAAAGATGTTTAAATAATTAAGAAAAATTCCTAAAAAGCAAAAGCAAATGGAAATAAACCTAAACCTATCAAATTGGTGGTCTAACCCTAAGGAGAATGACTAAAACACAGATTTGTGATTATACACATTAGAATGTATTCCAAGGACAAAAAGAACCATTAAGTTTTCAAACAGCATTCATTACATTTAATATTGATAATCACACTGGTATCTGTGTATGAAAATTTCAAAATAATAGCCAGACTAACTGTGTTATTAGGAACCTAGTTTTCATTGTAAAAGAGACAGAAATGTAAAATCAAATTAGTCAGTAATTCCCTATCATCTCAGATTTGAATTGACAATTCAAAATGAAACCTCCTTTCCAAAGTTAAAAAGGTCAATGAGTCATGGGCATCTCAAGAGTGCCTGTCATCTCTAAATGGTATTTCCTACACAGAACCAGGGAACACAATCCTTAGCTGATTCTTATCTGGGACAAGATGCACACGGTGATTAGAACAAGTCAGCAAACTACAGAGCAGGCCACTTTTGCTTGTTTTGTATGGCCCATTTTTAAAGGTGGGAGGGAGAAACATGAAGACTATTTTGTGACATGTGAAAATCGATATGAAATTAAAATCCTGGTGTCCATACAGTTTTTTGGAAACACAGCCATGCTCATTCATCGAGCCTGGCTATGGCTACATCTGTCCTACTACAACAGTACAGTTCATTAGTTGGAACAGCAAAAAAAAGGCCCAAAATAATCACAAAAGTCTAATTTATTTATCTATGTTTTATAGAAAGTTTGCTGACCCCTGTATTAGAAAGACAGAAAGCTGTGTTAAAGTGTAGAGTTTGGACCAAAAAGACATTAGAAACCAACTTAAAAGGGTTCCCTCCCCCATCTTGGTTGAAAAGAACAATCTGAACTTCAAGAAGAAAAATGACAGCAGCAGATTGAAACACAAGTACATAATGATACCAAATAATAAAAACTCAACAAAACCAACGAAAATCTTATTGGTCATCTTATTGGAGGTTGCTAGGGTGCCAACTCTATGCTAAAATTGGTCAATAAAGGAAGGAAAATAATCAAGCAATTACCCTTCCTTTCCTGTACAAACTATATTTCAGGGTTACCAAAGATGGAAGCCTCTCCTTTGACAGAATTATAGCCAATAATTAAAAAGAAATGATAGAAACTTACAAATCACCACTTTGGAACCCCCTATGAAATAATGGACCTAAGTAATGATCATCAATGGCCGCCAAAAGCATCAGGTGAGCCACTGAAGGGAAACTTCATATTGGATAGACGTGGATCCTCTTACCTAGACAGACATCTCCTGTCGGTAAAAACAGGACACGCACACACTGCATGCCATCTGATGTAAATCAAGTACACATCACAAATTAAGTATTCTTACCAAATAAGTTAACCTACATCTATTCAAGTCTCTTAACACTAACTACTAGCTTTTAGGAAATACTGAGGAGTGGAAACAATATAAATGACGCAAGAATGCAGTCAGACAAAATCAGAGTAGAAAGCCTATAGGACACAGTCCTGGTAACTTCAGAAGCAAATGGAAGTGGAGGGACTTGCAGGGGGAAGATGAGTAAAACTATTACAGTAAGGAGACTTAGGAGATATGGACCCCAAATATAATGTGTGTATCTTATTTGGATTTTGAGTCAAACCAACCAACTGTCATTAGACACTAAATTTTTTTAATTACCAGTTTTATTAAATATAAGTAAAGTTTTTTAAAAAAAATCCTTATCTAACAAATACACTGAAGTATTTACAGATGAAATAAAATCATGGCTGGGATTTGCTATAAAATACTCTAGCTGGCAAAATGAATGGAATTGAATATATGAAATTCAGTATACTATCCAGGTTATGTGAACTAATAAACATTTATTTATAGAGAACATTCACTGGGACATGTTTAATATTATATTACTATAACATTTAGCAGGAACAACATTCCTAATCCCTTTCACTTTTCCCCATTCCAAAATATTCTCATTGAAGTAAAAGAGCTAAGAAACTCAGAAAAAAACAAGGTCAAAACAAAATTGTAACTTACCATTATTCTGTTCAACTGTCATGAGATTATGCTTGGCTTTTACTGAGGCCTCAAATGTATCAACATTTTCCCGTTCATACTCTTTAACATCAGCAGCTACCCTTTCTAGAATGTCATCTGGAGAAGGTGACCGTGTACAAGTACTGCTCTGGGGGCTGCTTGGTTCAGATGGCACAGACATATTGCTATCTTCAGCAAGATATTTATATTTCTGAAATAAAAATGCAACATATTATTTTTATAAAATATGATGTTCTCTGAATATACTTGCTATGAGGTGCTGCACTGAAAGTTAAGAGTGTCAGGTAATGGTACTGATGCTTGATTGAATTACATCCACAATCCCTTGTATGTAATTCCAAAATCCACGACACTCTGAAAAGTTTTTCTGCTTGGTGCACATTTATTAGGTGGCAAAACCTAACTTGAACAGATGTGCTGCTACTTATAGCCTTATTTACCTCCCCCAGTGTGAAACATAATATGCCTCACTGCAGAAACACTAACATGTTTATAATGATGGGTGCTGTTCTAGACCCCAATGATGGGGCTAAGTAATATGCACAAATGTACTATAGTACCTTTCTAAAATTCATATATTTCTGAGATCTGAAGTACATCTGGCCCAGGGGTTGGAGATAAGGGATTGTGGACCTGGGCAAGAACAAAAAAATTCAACCAAGTCTCTAGGGCTATCAGTTTAATACCAATTTCATCAGTGCCCCAGAAAGTTTCCTTTAGAATTCCAATTTTGCCCTAAATCCTCTGAGGACTCCAGTTTTTTCTTTGATCTGGCATATGGTTACATGCCACAACTATTTTTTCCTTTTGTCTACCGTCCTCCTTACAGTATCTAAACGTTTTTCATGTCTTCCAGAATTATTCTCTCAACTCCCTCACTCACTTCCTGATGGTAAGAAAGCACTTTATAGACAGTGCCATGCACAGAGGGTCTAGAGGTCACGGCTTTATCTCAGATGGCCGAGGAAGAATCGACAATCTTCCAAGACAGTTACCCTTATCTCTATTATTAAGACCTATGTATGACACCATTTCCCCCACCCTATTTTTTCACTGAGCTCTAAACTACTCAAAATTTGTGATGTTCTATTTAGACAACCACATTTGCATTAGAAAACTTGACATTTTATTATACATTGAAATGTTTTTTCCACCATCAACAGACTTAACTTTTTGCTAAGTGAAATTTTCCTTTACTTATGAGGATTTTCTTATTAACTTAAAAGACCTGTTCAATTACTACTGTCACTACCTTATTATTTAAGCAGGACAGATCAAAGTTTTACTAAGACCACACACCTGAACAATTGCCTGCCTTTGTATTCTTCTCTGTTCTATTAGGGCTTCTTCATCCTCTTCCTCTACATCAAAGTCTTCAAGGCTTTAACAAAAATTACACATACAATTAATTTTAAACATCTCCAGAGAAGCCAAAATCTTGACTTTACATTTTAAAAATGAAAATGGGAAAATATAAGTCATCAGTAAGTTTGAGCAAAATTCATAAGCCATCTCATTCTCTTTTTCCTTGTTTCTAAACTGCCTCAAGTTGCCTGGTTATTTGGAATCCTGGCAGGTAATTTAACCTTCTGTGTTATATTTTTCTCCTCATCTGTTTCATGGTTCCAAAATAAAAGACAAAAGAAAGATTCATAAGTTTAAAAAAGTCATCACTATCCCTGCCAACCCTGCCATGACCCTTAGCATTAAGAAAGCCATTTTACCTTTCTAGTCTCAGTTTTCACACCTATAGACCAAGAGGTAAACTGGTACCTTTTCTGGGTCAGAGAACCCTCTGAAAGCTATAGTTCCTTTCCTCATCAAAAATGCAAATGTAAAAATTTGCATACATCTGAAAGAGAATGTGACTCTACCTTCAAACGCTACCTCTACCCTGTCAACTGTCCTCCCAAAGAACTCCTCCAAAATCTTTATGATCCCTCTTTTCTATGATCTGCTGAATGTTCAACTGCAGAAGAGTAAGCAAACTGCACTCTGAAGGTATCCAGAGCTATGGGTAACACCCTTATCCCACTCAACTTTATCACCTGCTCTCATCAGTTTCTCATACTTCGCACTATTGACATTTGACAGTTCTTCATCATGGAGGGTAGTCCTGTGCATCTGAGGATGTGAACAGTATCCCTGGCCTCTAGCCACTAGATGACAATAAAAAAGATTTGCATTGTCAAAATGCCTCTGGGGAGGAAAACACCCTCCACCTTCTCCACCCCAGTTGAGAACCACTGTTCTAAATTAGTCTTATTTATTTGAGATGTTCCACTTAGACAACTAAGTTTGCATTAGAAAAAATTTCCCTATTTTATTACTTACAGAAAGGTTTCTGCATTTTCCACACTGTAACATGCATGTGGAATAGCCTCAACTGCAAAGTATGCAATATTGTACACAAACTGAAAAGCTGAAACTTAGTGTAAAAACTATTGCCCCAAAATTGGTAACCAAGATTGGCATGACTAACTAATTTATCTGTTGTTCCTCATAGAAATAAAGATGGGAAGGCTCATGATAAAATGATGACCTAAAATTCATTCTAGTCAAAAGTGAAACTTCCAGATTTAGAAAACCATGGCCTCTATTATATGACCTATAAAATATGCATGGATGATTAACTTTTCAATTTTGGACCAAATTCATGGATTTGCTTATAAACAGTCAAGTGGAAATTAAAGATTTCTAAGTCAAACAAATTGGAAAAAGGAAGTAACAGATTCTTACTTATCATCAGATGAAGATTCTTGCTCAACTTTCATTCCTTCAGAAAGACTTCCTTTAAATTTATCTTCCTTTACTTTGCTTCTGCTCCTACGTCTACGACCACCCCGTGACCGAGACCGCCTTCTTAAGCGTGATCTGCTCCTCCGACCTCTGTCCCTATTTAGAAGAAAGTGACATGTATTTTTTTAAATGTCAATTAAAGTTGGGGACACTGGGCATGTTGGAGCGAGAGGTATGCTCCCTGTACTTTTCAAAACCACAATTTTGCTGTGAACCTAAAATTGTTCTTAAAAAAAAAAAAAAAAAAAGTCTTTAAAAATAAAAGGGGGTCAATAAAAATTATAAACAGTAAAATAATACAGTATCAGAAAGACTGGAATAATCAGCTTAACCAAAGATAATGAAAATGTAGCTTACTGTATCTTACTGACTGCAAAGGAGCACAGGGAAACTTTGGTGGCAATGGGAATGTTCTGTATATTGATGTGGTGGGTATGTGACTGTAAGGGCTTTTCACAACTCATATAACTTTATACCATAATGGGTGAGTTTAACTTCATGTACATGATATACACTTCAATAAACCAAGTAATTTTTTGAAAAGATCACTTCTGATAAAGCTTGGGGAAGACAAAGGTGACAGAAATTTTATGTCTAATTAGTATGGCCCTCAGACATTTTTATAAATATGTAAAGTTCTTGCCTCATGTTAAACAAACAAAAATGGATGTCATAGTTGAAGCATTATATGAAATTCGAAACAGAAAAGGCTGCAAAATCTCCAAAGAATTGGCAAACTCCCCGTTAATATCACATCTGGCCACCATGTTCATCTCAGATTTCTTCTGAAACCTGACTAAAATGATAGTAAAGTATTAATTAAAAAGAAAATCCTCAGGAAAAAAGAATGTGAAGAGATATGAGATCTGAGACGCCAACAAAATCTTGAAATGTGCTAATCAGATAGAAGAACAGTAACAGACCAAATCTCAGTCCAAAGGGAACAGAGAGGTAATTAAGAAACAAGTCAGCATGTGCTACAAGATCTCAGAAAGCCTCAAGAATTGGAAACACAGTATCTTCTGATGGATGTGGTATGAAGTAAAAGATTGCCTGAAAGCTTTTAGAAACAGCTTGACTATACTATTCCCCTTCCTGACTCAGGGGAAACACCAACAATCACCCTTCACATCCTGGCACAATGCGTATGACTGGTTATTGTGAAAACTGGCCCAGGGTACCACGGGCAACCTGTACTGAAACAGGATTAGGTGGAAGTCTACATTATGAAGGACTAAAACTGAGAGCCACGTCTGTACTCTCCAGCAGATGAGGATTCTAGAAAACTCACTAGCCCAGAACAAAACATCTAGAGTCACCAATACGCTGAAGTCTCTACCTAATCATCCTGAAGTGACACCCACTGCCCCACAAATTCTACACTGACAGACCAGAAGAAAGCGTTGATTTAGTTTTCTCAGTGCCTAAGTTTTAAATCAGAACAGGCAGCAAGGAAGGATCCAGCTGTCTGAGTAAAGTCTTCAAGTGAAAAGTTAAATGAGCAGCACAAAGAATCTGCAAAGAAACAAAAGCACGTGTAAGAGAAGAAAACTATACTGAATAATATCTTCATGAAGAGACACGACACGAAGACATTTCTATAAAACAGTGAAATGTTAAAAAAAAAAAACAGCTAGCAAGGTTTTGCAATAAAAAAATTTATGAGCACAGAAAAAAAAAATAAAAACAGGAGGTAGAAAGAAAAAACTGAAAAGTAGACTGAAAATAGAATAAAAAGACAAAACAAAAGATGAATGAGGTGCATATGAGGGGAAATCAACGCAAAAATATAAAATGTCCAACTGGAAAAACAAAAAATAGAAAAGAAAGCAAATAAAAGCAGAAGAAAGAACACTTCCCCAGAACAGGCAGCCATAATCTTCCTGCTTTCAAGGGCCTATATACTGCCCAGAAAAACAAATGGTAACACCAAGGCATATTATAGTGAATATAGTAAATGGAAACACACTAAGGCATATTACACTGAAATGTCAGAACACCAGACATTTAATAAAAAGGAGAGAGAAACAGCAGTCCTGTAAAAAATGTCCAGGCCATTAGAATAGAAGTCAAAAGCAAGACGGCAAACTAGAAACCAGAGGAATAACAATTTCAAAATTCTTAAGAGAAAAATGGCTTCGACCTGGAATTCTACTGTCTGACAAATCAGCAATGACAACGAAAGGCTTTTTTTTAAAGAAACATAGGTCCCCAAAATGTGCTTTCCATGTACTTTCCTCAGGAAGCTAGTGGCAATGTATTATCAAAGCAAAGAGGTAAAACATGAAAAAACAACTGACACAGGAAATGGAATCACAACAGGAGAGAGAAACAAGGGAATGCCATGAGGATGGAAAAGGGAAAATGAATCCTACACTGCTAACTTTATGAGCAGGTCTATCTGTTAGTTTGGAGCCAGAGGCTAGGAACATTAAAATGAAGGTCCTCTCTTCCCCCTTTCCTCCAATTACTTGCTCAGTAATGACCAATATGCATATGATCGTAACAATGATTATATTTGGAAGCATGTGGAAATGTGATGAAATTAGGCAGGAGAGAAACACATGAGTGGTGGTATTAAAAAAACTAACTGTCCGAAGTAGGAAATCAATAGGTAACATGGAAGTAACTTTAACAAGTTTATAAACACATACACTCTCAAACAAAGCATTTCTACTGCTACAAACCTAGAATAAAAAAAAATACTCAAGAGATGTAATGATATATCCAATGGCTACAATAAGCTTTTGGTCAGTTGTCTTTTTATTTTCATGTATTAGTTCAATAAAAAAATTTAAAAACTGGGCAAATGATTGCTCATTTGTTTCAATTAAAATATTTAATGTGTATGCACATTTTAAAAATGATTCCCTGACTTTAAAATCCAATTTTTTGATTAACCATCTAACTACTGGCTATATGTACCTGACATAAAACAGCTCCTACTACTGTAAATTAAACAGGCTTATTCACATCTATTGAGGATATCATCTTCATGTCATGCTCTTAAGGGGACCAAATAAAGTTATTAGAAAAATAAATACAGAACTGCAATCATAAAATAACAAGAAACTGAACTACTTACTTATTCATTACACTATGATTTAGCCTGCTGGTTAAAAGAATCCCAAGCCTAGCTCATTTAATATTTATCTGTTAAAAAAAAGAAAATATCCTATTTGTAAAAGATTGATTTTTATGAACACTTATTTAAAGGAAAACTATATTAAAGAAAAATCATTGTGTGTGAATCTGTCACACACTGGTAAGAAGAAACTATATGGGATCAAGCTGTAATTTCTCTCAGAGTAAAATGATCTCTAAGAAAACTTGCCAACTAAGCTAATATGAAGCCTCAAAAGCATTCACAATTTAATGAATCAAAAGGATAACACATGTAATATATCTTTACCTTCTCCGAGGAGACCTGCTTCTTCTTCTGGGAGACCTGCTTCGTCTGAGTGGGGAACGAGATCTCCTCCTAATGGGAGATCTACTCACTCTTCTTCGGGTTGGAGACCACCGGCTGATCGGACTGGCATCTTTTGATCTTTCGCGTCTGAGAATATCATCTCGAGGTCGTGTTCTTAAGAGGATCAAATATAAGTTAATGGAAAAATCAAAATAATTTAAATTTCTTCTACTTGTAAGTAACATCTTGAAGGGCACATTAACCTAAAGATGGTAAACACAGGTAACAAGTTTTAAGTTATAAAACTTAAAATCAAATACTCACAATGACATGTTGGTGTTATGGTATGCACATAAAATAACTGGGAATCCATAAGAGTCTATTTCCTCTGGTCTCACAATATGAAGAATTAGTAATGGTTATTCATATTGTTAAGGCTACTAGTTTTGATTCCAGATAACTCAAATAAAACTTGCCTGAGTGGTAATTCCATTTCCTCAGTTTGAAGACTTTTCTTTCTCAACTTTGACATTTTTGCAACTAAGAGTCCTACTTTTAATAAATTACATATATTAAGCACCTTAGAATGTTAACCCATAGCAGAGAGAAAATAATAAGGGTTTAGGGAAAAGGACAATCCATTAGTCACAGAAGTTCTTAATAGTAACATTCCTGGAAGGAAATCTGGCACTTTCTAAAATGTAAATGTATATAACCATAGACTCTGCAATTACACTTCTACTGAATCTAAAAGAAACCTCTCACTTAACACCAATGGACATCTATGCTACAATCCTAAGAACTGGAATCAACCTAAATTTCCATCAGTTTCAACATGGGAATTACTAAATATACTACAGTACATCTGTACAGTGAAATATGTTGCTGTTACATAAAGAATTTTAAAAGATATTTATGTACTGTCACAGAAATGTTTCATGAAAAAAGTAAATTACTGTTAAGATGAATAGTATGACTATTTTTGTAAGAAAAAAACATTCATATAATTGTAAAAACAGCTAGAAAGACACACTCTTCTCAGGCATGGTAAGGGAGGAGGGATGAGAGAAATTACAGGCTTCTTCATTATTTCAACTTTCTCTTAAATCAGTATGTATCTCTTAATCAGTATGTATCTCTTCTAATTAAAAAAATACTTTGTTTCAAATATTCAACACTAGTCCTTAACAAACTGAAAATATCCTTTTCAAACTTAGAGACCAGGATCATTAACACTTTAGATAACAATCAGTAAAGCTAGGAAGAAGTGGGCCATTTCATTAGTGTCAAGTTAGAAGAAAACACGAGTATCTCTTTATAGAGTATCTTGAAAAGAGCATTTTTGAAATTTCTCAGAAAAGATGATGATTTGAACTTTAAGGTCAGCTTATATATTTATAACCAATACATATTATACACAATAAATAACTAAGAGTCTATAACATGATAAGCCAACACTCTCTTTTTAAGCCAACATTCTTTTAAGGGAAACTAGACTGATAATTTCACGTGCCTAACTGTGAATTTATATCAATACTAAAAAATCAGTTTCTAATTATAGACCAGTTTAAACAACCACCATCCCTCCCCACAAAATCCTTTCTTTGCTTAACTGCTTACATGTAAGATCCTAGGTAAGTTAAATAACATCTCAATCTATTTTCTCATTTATAAATTAAGTATGAGCCAAGTCACTCCACCCAAGGAGAGAGAATCAGAAATTTATGAGAAAAAAACTGATGGATGTAATATATCATACAAACATGAATTTTCATTATTGGTAAAAAATTCAAAGTAACTATAGTGCCAATTTATAATTAAGATTTCAAAATCATGCCTATTCAAGAGAATGAACAGGTCACAACACCTTTTTTAAAGTTAAGACTTTCAGCCTGTGCTGTTCAATGAATAATGCCCACTTTAGAAACTACTTCACTCCATTAAATGGTACACAGATTAATCAAATTACTTGGATCTAAAATAGTGATTCTGCAAAGTAGATACTAAATTAAGAAACTGAAAAAAAGTTGACTGTCTCCAAGTTCAGTATTTGTAAATGACAGTTAAGATACTCAGTGAAAAGGTACAAATATTAATCTAGTTAGTGGACATGATTATACTAAAAACAACAACAACAACAACACTATCTCATTATTTTTTTTTGTTCACTACTAGTTCTAGTTTCTCCCTTAAAATCTGGTATGTTGGTAAGAAGCATTAACGTTTTGAAAGCAAGTTACCTTGGAGAAGAAAGTCGTCTTCTTTCTGGTTCTCTTCGTTTTCTTTCCAAAGATCGGCTCTTGGCTCTTCTACCAGGAGACAGAGTCCGAGAAGGTGATTTGCTCTGCTTAGACCTTCTGTCATTTACAAATGGAGATCTACTTCTTCTTGATTTATCACGTTGTTTCGGAGACACACTTCTTCTTTTAGGACTACGACCAGGTCTTCTACTGGGTGACCTATTTTCTTTCCCAGAGGAAGCATCTTTAGAGGGAGATTTAATTGGCTTCTTTTCTTTATCAGTTTCAGACCGTTTTGATTTTCTGTCTTTGGACCGTGACCTTCTGTCTTTAGATTTACCTCTCAAGTCAATTGGGGATCTGGATTTTTTGCCTCTATCACGACTTCTACTTTCATTTATAAGTGGGCTTTTTTTTCTATCTTTTGACTTGCTTTTATCTTCAACTTTAACCTTATCATCAGTAGGAGACCTGGTTTTCCCAATTTTCTCTTGAGATCGTCTTCTCAGGGTAGGAGATTTTGATTTTCTTGTTTGATCTTGAGACTTACTTCTTTTTGATGGACTTTTGGACTTTTTCCTCTCCTTTGACTTGCTTCTAGTTGTCTTCTCTTTCACTATTTCAACACCTCCCTTACTTTTCTTTTTATCAGACCTATGTCTAGTCCGTTCTTTGGATCTGCTTTTACTTCGCTTTTTTGTACTATTTTTATTCTCCATAAGTTCAAGTTTCCCCTTTGTACTTGAAGATCTAGTACTAGACCTATTTCCATTTCTTGCCTTTTCATGAATCTCCCCCTCTTCTTCAGAGCCAGACTCATAACCTTGTAATATGAGCCCCATCCCAGATTGGACCTTTCCTTCCATTAACTCATTATCAAGTTCAGCTTTAATCAAGGCTCTCTGTTTTTCCAAGTCTTCCAGCAAAGCTAAATCATCAAGTTTAGTTCTTTTTGCTGGAGACATACCTTCTTTATCAGAAGCATCAATAACTTCTTTTCTTTTATGTTTCTTATGCTTATGCTTATGCTTATGTTTTTTATCCTTGTCTTCTTCTGAGGAATGTTTATGTTTCTTATGTTTACTTCTATGCTTATGCTTCTTTTTTTTGTGACGACTGTGCTTATTTTGAGACTGGTCTTCTGATACTTCTCCATTTTCTTCATTTACACTCTTTTCAGAATTATCAGCATCTTCCACCCTATAAATTCATCAAAAGCATTTTAAAATCATATCATTTATCAAGCATTCAGATGTAACAAAAGTAATGATAAAAATTACATCTCAACATATATTACATGGAGTTAGTCACTGAAATCTTTCAGAATGGCTTCAGACATTTTACTTCAAAAATACAAGGTAACAACTGAGTTGAACATTAGAAAACTATAAACTTTCTAATGGTTGAAGTCACTTACAAAAGTATAAGAGAAAATACATAATGGGGGAGGTTAAAATAAACTTAAAAGAAAAAGGGAACCCAAACCAGGTACTATACACAATGTTAATATTGATTTAGCTAGAGTCACTCAGTAACTTGTTTATAAACCAGCATTTCCCATAGACTTAACACCTAAGGAATCCCCCATTTTTTCCCCTTTAAAAACCTATTAATACGGACATGTAATGGGAGACTAACCTCATTCTTCACTTGAAACTCAGAAATACACCACTAAAAAAAATCTCTAGAGTCAACATTGAGCTATATCTAAAGTAAGCACTCCATCAGTGTGCACTGGTAGCTAATACTGGTAGTCTAAACACACTCCCAAGGGTTAAAACTTTGTAGTGAACTGACCAAGGTCTTAGGACTCTTGTCCTGTAGTGGCCACTGGACAACCATACGTTATTAGGTCGAACCAATATCTAAGTGTTGTTTACAGGTCAACAACAATCCAGTATCAGCAATTTCATCCGGTTCAAACAGTATTTGTTCAGTGGGCTATTTAATCTCTCGGAATTCCAAATGAGAGATTCCCCAAATACGTCTATATTAATAGGTGCAATGCAAAACAATGTTTTAATTAAATTAAAGGTGCTAGCTTTTATGCTTAAATGTTTGGGCTATGCTAAATTAAAGAGTTTATGATTCTAAATCTTTCCGCTAAATCCTTGCTGTTCAGTAATCCCAGGTAAAACACAGGCTGCAATAGGATTATTTAACTTTCTCCTTCAAAGTAACTCCTCACTACACCATCAGGTCCTAGAACATGAGACCAAAATCAGACTTTAACTGGATCCAGACCACCATACTCATTTTGGAGGAAGATATGGATAATTTTGTCCAAGTACTTCAATTTATGTACCCCTGCATTTTTAATAAGTTTATTATTTATGCCACATACAAAAGGTTATGGCAAATTAAGAATGAGTCTGTTCATCCAATCTCCTTCAACATTAAAAAAAAAGCACCTACACTTATACAAGCACTAAGCGAGGTGGCAGGAAAGCACAGATGTACATCCTTGAGATCTGCTCCCTCAAGGGAATTACAGTCATGAAACACTGGAGCAGTGCAATGACAGTCATGAATTGGGGCATTATGGGAACACTATGGATCACCAAAAATCATTTTGAAAATGGTCAAGGAAGGTGTCTCGTAGATTACAAAAAACCTGTTTTTTTTAAGCAGGGACCTTGGCAGGAGAAAAGAAATGTTTACTGAGAAGGCACACAGATAAAAAAGTAAAGGTAATATTGTCCTAGAGAATGATGAAGAAGAAATTAACCAGAGGAAAAGGAATATTTTAGACAGAGAAAAAAGGTGACCAGAAGCATAAATATAGCGTGACTACAAGCATATCAGTGCTGCCAGGGCATCAAACTTGTGGAAGCAACTGGCCCAGGAGAAGTTAAGATCTCAAATGGACCAATTCTAGATGTCACAGGATAAATATAGCAGTGTTCTGCGGACCACCACATTTTCTCAAAGACTTGGAAAATGAAAGTGTAATACCTCTGTATCAAAAAAACAAACATGGGTCTATTATGGAGGGAGATAAATCACAGATTTAAGTACAAGATACACAGACATTTCAGCTTTGTTTCTAGTAAACTATATGCTTATAGGTAACCACCTTCATTTCCCCTAATCTCCGATCCCTATAACCCAGAAGGTGGTGAATATGTCTGTTTTCCTGAACACTGAGTAATAGGGGGAAATATTTAAGAAAAATTGAATTAGGTTAATTCAAGACATGTAGATAGGTATAGAGAACCCTTCTGAAGTTTGAGAATAATTTTCTGGTATATATTATCTAAGTGCCCAAAGTACAAAATTGTAGCCAATAAGCTAGTAAAACAAACTCTAAAGACCCTCTAAGTAATGTCCTCAAGAAAAAAGACAGGTGATTAAGCAGTCTCCAGAGCTAGACTAGCTGGGTTCAAATCCTGGATCCACTGCTTAGAAGTTGTGTGGCCTTAGACAAGTTCAAGATCTCTTTTATCTGGAAGCACCTCATGTATAAAATGGAGACAATAATAGTTCATATCTCAAAGCATGCTGTGAGGATGTTAGTGATAGAAAGTAAGGCTTCTAATAGTGCCTGGCACAAATCAAGTGCCCAAGAAGTAACTGTTAGTATTGTTTAGATACTGGATATATTTACTCACCATAACACTGTGGCGCTAGCAGAGCTGATACTAAGAATATTACTTTTAAGGAATACTGTCAAAGAGCTTGGATTCTGTCAAACTGCCCTGCTCAAAGGTTGCTTCCACCATGACACACCCAGTTTAACATTAGGCAAGTTACTTCTTTGTACCTCAATTTCCTTGTTTGCAAAAACTGGGGAAATAATTGTATAGACAAATCACAGGTTTGTCATGGCAAGGAGTTCATGCATATAAAAAGCTGTTGCACAAGGTTCAAAATTTCAAAAATATTGTATCTAAGAGAGAGATGAGACTTTAAAGTTCAAGGGGGTTTAAGGGACTTGCCTAAGCTCACACATAAAGCTAGTGAGAAAAGGCTGATGATATTACCAAGTCAGTCAAGGGCTCTTCCATTTCATCAAAGACACTTTGAAAATGTCAGATCATAATACCACTCTGTGAGCCTTTATTGTTGCTTCCTACCTCACTCAGGGTAAAAGCTCAAATCCTTTACAAGGCCTTACTCGTTCTATCCACCAAAACTTGCCAACGTTTGAACCTACCACTCTCCTCCAACTCTCACTCTACTTCAGCCGCGCTCCTCTCCTGGAACAGCAGGCAGTCTTCTACCTTGGGGCCTTGGTACTGACACCTGCTGTTTCCCCAGCCAAACACATTGCTAGTTACTTTGACTACATCAGGTCCCTGCTCAAACGACACTTTCCCAGTCAAGTGCTCCTCACCAATTCATTTGTATTGCAACCACTTCTGTTTTCTCCAAAGTAAATGCCACCATCTAATACAAACCTTGTTTGTTTTGCCCTATTATAAGCCCTAAGGAAGCAGAATTTTAATGTTTAGTTCACTTCTCTATCCCTAAGGTCTGTAAGATTGTCCCGTCTAACCTACAGTAGGCATCAGATGTGTGGCACTGAGATGCTTCATATACAAAAAAGTATCAAAACTGTGCTCATTAGCCTAAAGCTGGTTTAATACTGGCTGTACTATATACTCTTACCTCTCTACAGTAAGCCTTTTGTTTTTGCTCAGTTATAGCTCTAGTGCCTCACACAATGCACACAGCTATTTATTGAATTGCAATACCCTCAAATAAGGTAAATTTAGTCACCTCCTTCCCCAAGAAAAATATGCTCCTTGAACCCTTTTTTGATGCTTTCTGTAATTAACAAGTTTTCCAAGGAGTTTCAACATTCTTAAGACTTTACCCACAGAGGAAGTTCCTTCCTTCAAAAGGAAATCTTGGCTCCTAAAACACCTAAGAATCAGAAACTACATCACAATGCCCCATGTTACTTAAGTCCTTCCCACGAATGACCCCAGTTTATATAACTTAGTGAATGTTAACTCAAATAATGACCAGGTTATTGATATAAATACTATCAGCACCTTAGGGTCAAAAGGTTAATCTATCTTTTGACTTGCTTTTATCTTCAACTTTAACCTTATCATCAGTAGGAGACCTGGTTTTCCCAATTTTCTCTTGAGATCGTCTTCTCAGGGTAGGAGATTTTGATTTTCTTGTTTGATCTTGAGACTTACTTCTTTTTGATGGACTTTTGGACTTTTTCCTCTCCTTTGACTTGCTTCTAGTTGTCTTCTCTTTCACTATTTCAACACCTCCCTTACTTTTCTTTTTATCAGACCTATGTCTAGTCCGTTCTTTGGATCTGCTTTTACTTCGCTTTTTTGTACTATTTTTATTCTCCATAAGTTCAAGTTTCCCCTTTGTACTTGAAGATCTAGTACTAGACCTATTTCCATTTCTTGCCTTTTCATGAATCTCCCCCTCTTCTTCAGAGCCAGACTCATAACCTTGTAATATGAGCCCCATCCCAGATTGGACCTTTCCTTCCATTAACTCATTATCAAGTTCAGCTTTAATCAAGGCTCTCTGTTTTTCCAAGTCTTCCAGCAAAGCTAAATCATCAAGTTTAGTTCTTTTTGCTGGAGACATACCTTCTTTATCAGAAGCATCAATAACTTCTTTTCTTTTATGTTTCTTATGCTTATGCTTATGCTTATGTTTTTTATCCTTGTCTTCTTCTGAGGAATGTTTATGTTTCTTATGTTTACTTCTATGCTTATGCTTCTTTTTTTTGTGACGACTGTGCTTATTTTGAGACTGGTCTTCTGATACTTCTCCATTTTCTTCATTTACACTCTTTTCAGAATTATCAGCATCTTCCACCCTATAAATTCATCAAAAGCATTTTAAAATCATATCATTTATCAAGCATTCAGATGTAACAAAAGTAATGATAAAAATTACATCTCAACATATATTACATGGAGTTAGTCACTGAAATCTTTCAGAATGGCTTCAGACATTTTACTTCAAAAATACAAGGTAACAACTGAGTTGAACATTAGAAAACTATAAACTTTCTAATGGTTGAAGTCACTTACAAAAGTATAAGAGAAAATACATAATGGGGGAGGTTAAAATAAACTTAAAAGAAAAAGGGAACCCAAACCAGGTACTATACACAATGTTAATATTGATTTAGCTAGAGTCACTCAGTAACTTGTTTATAAACCAGCATTTCCCATAGACTTAACACCTAAGGAATCCCCCATTTTTTCCCCTTTAAAAACCTATTAATACGGACATGTAATGGGAGACTAACCTCATTCTTCACTTGAAACTCAGAAATACACCACTAAAAAAAATCTCTAGAGTCAACATTGAGCTATATCTAAAGTAAGCACTCCATCAGTGTGCACTGGTAGCTAATACTGGTAGTCTAAACACACTCCCAAGGGTTAAAACTTTGTAGTGAACTGACCAAGGTCTTAGGACTCTTGTCCTGTAGTGGCCACTGGACAACCATACGTTATTAGGTCGAACCAATATCTAAGTGTTGTTTACAGGTCAACAACAATCCAGTATCAGCAATTTCATCCGGTTCAAACAGTATTTGTTCAGTGGGCTATTTAATCTCTCGGAATTCCAAATGAGAGATTCCCCAAATACGTCTATATTAATAGGTGCAATGCAAAACAATGTTTTAATTAAATTAAAGGTGCTAGCTTTTATGCTTAAATGTTTGGGCTATGCTAAATTAAAGAGTTTATGATTCTAAATCTTTCCGCTAAATCCTTGCTGTTCAGTAATCCCAGGTAAAACACAGGCTGCAATAGGATTATTTAACTTTCTCCTTCAAAGTAACTCCTCACTACACCATCAGGTCCTAGAACATGAGACCAAAATCAGACTTTAACTGGATCCAGACCACCATACTCATTTTGGAGGAAGATATGGATAATTTTGTCCAAGTACTTCAATTTATGTACCCCTGCATTTTTAATAAGTTTATTATTTATGCCACATACAAAAGGTTATGGCAAATTAAGAATGAGTCTGTTCATCCAATCTCCTTCAACATTAAAAAAAAAGCACCTACACTTATACAAGCACTAAGCGAGGTGGCAGGAAAGCACAGATGTACATCCTTGAGATCTGCTCCCTCAAGGGAATTACAGTCATGAAACACTGGAGCAGTGCAATGACAGTCATGAATTGGGGCATTATGGGAACACTATGGATCACCAAAAATCATTTTGAAAATGGTCAAGGAAGGTGTCTCGTAGATTACAAAAAACCTGTTTTTTTTAAGCAGGGACCTTGGCAGGAGAAAAGAAATGTTTACTGAGAAGGCACACAGATAAAAAAGTAAAGGTAATATTGTCCTAGAGAATGATGAAGAAGAAATTAACCAGAGGAAAAGGAATATTTTAGACAGAGAAAAAAGGTGACCAGAAGCATAAATATAGCGTGACTACAAGCATATCAGTGCTGCCAGGGCATCAAACTTGTGGAAGCAACTGGCCCAGGAGAAGTTAAGATCTCAAATGGACCAATTCTAGATGTCACAGGATAAATATAGCAGTGTTCTGCGGACCACCACATTTTCTCAAAGACTTGGAAAATGAAAGTGTAATACCTCTGTATCAAAAAAACAAACATGGGTCTATTATGGAGGGAGATAAATCACAGATTTAAGTACAAGATACACAGACATTTCAGCTTTGTTTCTAGTAAACTATATGCTTATAGGTAACCACCTTCATTTCCCCTAATCTCCGATCCCTATAACCCAGAAGGTGGTGAATATGTCTGTTTTCCTGAACACTGAGTAATAGGGGGAAATATTTAAGAAAAATTGAATTAGGTTAATTCAAGACATGTAGATAGGTATAGAGAACCCTTCTGAAGTTTGAGAATAATTTTCTGGTATATATTATCTAAGTGCCCAAAGTACAAAATTGTAGCCAATAAGCTAGTAAAACAAACTCTAAAGACCCTCTAAGTAATGTCCTCAAGAAAAAAGACAGGTGATTAAGCAGTCTCCAGAGCTAGACTAGCTGGGTTCAAATCCTGGATCCACTGCTTAGAAGTTGTGTGGCCTTAGACAAGTTCAAGATCTCTTTTATCTGGAAGCACCTCATGTATAAAATGGAGACAATAATAGTTCATATCTCAAAGCATGCTGTGAGGATGTTAGTGATAGAAAGTAAGGCTTCTAATAGTGCCTGGCACAAATCAAGTGCCCAAGAAGTAACTGTTAGTATTGTTTAGATACTGGATATATTTACTCACCATAACACTGTGGCGCTAGCAGAGCTGATACTAAGAATATTACTTTTAAGGAATACTGTCAAAGAGCTTGGATTCTGTCAAACTGCCCTGCTCAAAGGTTGCTTCCACCATGACACACCCAGTTTAACATTAGGCAAGTTACTTCTTTGTACCTCAATTTCCTTGTTTGCAAAAACTGGGGAAATAATTGTATAGACAAATCACAGGTTTGTCATGGCAAGGAGTTCATGCATATAAAAAGCTGTTGCACAAGGTTCAAAATTTCAAAAATATTGTATCTAAGAGAGAGATGAGACTTTAAAGTTCAAGGGGGTTTAAGGGACTTGCCTAAGCTCACACATAAAGCTAGTGAGAAAAGGCTGATGATATTACCAAGTCAGTCAAGGGCTCTTCCATTTCATCAAAGACACTTTGAAAATGTCAGATCATAATACCACTCTGTGAGCCTTTATTGTTGCTTCCTACCTCACTCAGGGTAAAAGCTCAAATCCTTTACAAGGCCTTACTCGTTCTATCCACCAAAACTTGCCAACGTTTGAACCTACCACTCTCCTCCAACTCTCACTCTACTTCAGCCGCGCTCCTCTCCTGGAACAGCAGGCAGTCTTCTACCTTGGGGCCTTGGTACTGACACCTGCTGTTTCCCCAGCCAAACACATTGCTAGTTACTTTGACTACATCAGGTCCCTGCTCAAACGACACTTTCCCAGTCAAGTGCTCCTCACCAATTCATTTGTATTGCAACCACTTCTGTTTTCTCCAAAGTAAATGCCACCATCTAATACAAACCTTGTTTGTTTTGCCCTATTATAAGCCCTAAGGAAGCAGAATTTTAATGTTTAGTTCACTTCTCTATCCCTAAGGTCTGTAAGATTGTCCCGTCTAACCTACAGTAGGCATCAGATGTGTGGCACTGAGATGCTTCATATACAAAAAAGTATCAAAACTGTGCTCATTAGCCTAAAGCTGGTTTAATACTGGCTGTACTATATACTCTTACCTCTCTACAGTAAGCCTTTTGTTTTTGCTCAGTTATAGCTCTAGTGCCTCACACAATGCACACAGCTATTTATTGAATTGCAATACCCTCAAATAAGGTAAATTTAGTCACCTCCTTCCCCAAGAAAAATATGCTCCTTGAACCCTTTTTTGATGCTTTCTGTAATTAACAAGTTTTCCAAGGAGTTTCAACATTCTTAAGACTTTACCCACAGAGGAAGTTCCTTCCTTCAAAAGGAAATCTTGGCTCCTAAAACACCTAAGAATCAGAAACTACATCACAATGCCCCATGTTACTTAAGTCCTTCCCACGAATGACCCCAGTTTATATAACTTAGTGAATGTTAACTCAAATAATGACCAGGTTATTGATATAAATACTATCAGCACCTTAGGGTCAAAAGGTTAACTGTCAGTTTTACACTGGGGTCAGGTGTAGAGCAGACCCTGACCCTCTCAATTTCACAGAAAATAACAATTGAAGTCTTACAAGGTAAATTAAGAAAATATGACTCAGTTGAGTCCACAGTAGTAACATATTATACATAATGAGCTGTGGTAAGGCAGCTAATTTCAGTTCATTATCAATTTTCTTCTAAAACTTCAGGAACAGGTTTCTTGTTAAGAAACCTGATACTCTTCTTGGATAGCTCATAAAAACAATTAATAAAGTATATGAAGTTCCATATATAAAAATTTACATTTTAACATTTACATTTTGCAACTTAACACTACACATTCAGCAGGTTACATCTATACCAACCTGGTCTACAACAGATTTGTTATAAAACAGTATGTATTGAGAACTGAGTGACATCCTTGAAATCACATTATTTGGGAACAAAGCTGAATTCAAACTGCAGACAATATGGGAGTGTTTAACATTATTTTACTCACTTGTTTTGTTAAATGCAATGATACAAGTTTCACTCTTCAAACAACCCAGCTCTTGGAGCTTCGGGCACAATAAAAATAGCCATGAAACAATTTTAAAAGAAAAGTGACCAATTACCAACCACCAGTGTTACTTCAACTTTCTTTTTCACATGTATTTTTCACAGAATATTCTTAATGACATCTTATTTGGGAAGCATTCAATTTATGCTCCAGAGACAGAGAATGTTGAGCAAAGTGAATGCCATTACTTCTTTACAGGGAAAATAATTAAGCCTGTTTCTATGACATGTTAAACTATTTTAATACAGAATTTACTATGTAGATATAAAAATGACAATGGATTCAAAAGACCAACTGGTCTTAAAATGAAACCCCATCTCCACCTTTGCCAAATCAGGTCTGGGCAAGTGAGTTTCAAAGAGAATTAGAACTGTCACATCAAAAAATGAATCTTTCTAGGACTAGAAATCAATCGCAATGATTTCAAACCTTACAGGCTATTTTTAAAAGGAGCCACAATACACTGGAAGACCAGAAATTATAAATAAAAGCAAGGCTCAAGAATCAGAATGCCTGGATTTAAATCCTGGGTCTGTCACTTAGTGTGACCTTGAGCAAGTTAATTTCTGTATGCTTCAGTTTTATCATCTGTAAAATATGGAAATAACAGTATTTACCTCCACTGGATTGTTACAAGAATTAAATGAGTTAATATTTGTTCAGTACTTTAAACATATCTGGTACATGGTAAGTGCAAATTAAGTCAATGTATACAAAAATTCAAATGTTTAAGATCACCAGAAAGGTTGAGCTAGAAACGGACAAATGTAGAAGCCATTACAAAGCCTTTATTCTTTCTAAATGTTCTACTTTGAATAGATTCCATATAATTGTAAACTACTCACTGTCCTCTAAAACTACTTCAGCACTATATTCCAACATTAGCTATGAGCAGCATACACAGAACTTGTTTTTGTATCAAACTGTTTTCTTTGTTGAAGATTTTCAAGTAAGTTAAAGTGGGACACACACAGACCAAATATTCCGTTTATATTGCAGGGGTCTAAATGTTATTAAATCTAGTATTATTTGAACACTTAAGATATGGTTGAACCACTCCTCAAAATGAATCTGAATCGTCCCTGATGCCAAATAAGTGGACATAGTGCTATGGAACTTTAAACAGATTACTAGGAAGATCAGCTGCGTACCGTAAGATTTGTACTGTATTGGCATAAATATTGTTAACTGTGCCACACTGTGAACTTGTTGAGAAAACAAGAGGCGATGTTTAGTTAAACCTTTAGAATCCATTTGCTCTCTTCTAATCAAAACTGTGAAGATAACAAAGCAGCTTTCCAAAGTCGTTAATGAAAACATCACCATGATCCTCGGTCTAGCTGAAGTAAAGCAAATGACTGAGGAGTCCAGAACTGGACGCACAGCAATGAAGAGTTGGACTGTCGGGTGGTAAAGATATCTCCTACCACTCAGTCCCAAGTTGCTGGAAGATTAGACACCTCTTTCCTAAGATGGCTGGAAACAAATCAGATGGTGATGCAAAAAACGGCCGCTGTAGGAATAGTTTTAAAATCCATTCTCAAAATTAAATAAAATCCATTTAAGTTCTTGCTTGAGATTTCCTAGCATAAACACGACAATCAACATACTGCTTTTAGTTAAGCAACTGTTTAGCCTTTGCAGCATATACAAGCATGTTTTCACTCGGCCGCAATGGTTCTCAGACCAGCTTATTTACAGACATAAAGTGCCTGGGTTTGGAAGTAGCTAACAATTTCTACTACTTTTTCCACTCGTATTCCCAAAGAAGCGCTATAAACTCAGACCAGAAACGCCAGGCCTCACAACCAAGGACTTTATCTTACTTTGCCTCAAGTTTGGAAGTTGGCAAATAAGCTGCCAAGAAACAGGGGAAGTGGGGGGAGTACCGGTGGATGCTCAGTAGAGTTCAGGCGTGGCGAGATGAACTAGCCCGCTAGCCACAAACTACAGCTCTAGGATCCCTTCTCTTTGCTTTCAGGCCCTAAAACTGACACCAGTAGAAGAACGACCGGCCGTACTGCATGCGGAAGAAAAGTCTTAGGGCTGCTCGCGCTGCCGCCAACTCCTCCCGTGCCCACCACGTATGCCGCTGAGTGCTGCGGCGGGGGAGCTCCGGCCGGTCCCCGGGGAGGAACAGGAAGGCGCGACGGCACTGTCGCTGCCGCCGCCTCGCGCACGGGACCTGTAGAGGCCGCTCGCGCCTACGCCTCCCAGGGCAACGACGCGCGGCAGGCCGCAGCAGCCCTAGACCCAACAGCCGCCGCCTCCGGGAAAGCAAAGCTCGAAGGCCACCCGCCCGTGCCCCACGTTTCCCGCCCCAGAACGTATCGCGCGGGGAAGGGCAAAGTTTGGCTCTTGAGGTAAGGCCTGAACTTTCCCGCCGGCCCGTGCAGGTCTCCGCCGTTTCCCACTTGGCAGTCCCCTGGGCTCCGGCCTTCCGCAACTGAGACTACTTACTCTGGCTGCTCCCGCAGCGACTGGGTGTCCGCGGCGGCCATCTTGAACTTCCTGACTTCTCGGCGGCGGTGGCGGCGGCGGCCGCCCGAACAGTGAAGGCTGGTGGAAGTGGAGAAAGAGCGAGCGGAGCCGCCGCGCATGTGCTAACTGGGAACCGTGGAGCTCTGAGTCCGCACTAAGAATCCGGATGTAAAAGTGCATCCGGGGACAGGGCGCACGAGCGCCGTGACGCAACTTCCGGGACGGGGGTTGGGAAGGGTGTGAAGAGCTGTAGGTGGTTCCTGCGTGATCAGGGTTTAAGGGCGAAGAGACCGGAGCTTGCGTGCCACTCAAGAACCAAACATGGTTCTCGGCATGTGCTGGAGACGGGAGCAAACATTTGGGTATTGGTATAGTGTGTGAGGTCTTGATAACTAGTTTCACTGTGGGGCCCAGAAGTTAAATTAAATCCTCAAACTGGGGCAAATAAGGTGATTAATTTTGCTTCTGGGTTCCTTTGGAAGTCGAATAATGCCTTTTTACTTCTGGTACCTCAGTTTGAAGTGGCATGAAGGGGAAGTTTGCAGAAAGACATTTTGAGAGTACTGGAAAGATGACTACCTAGAACGTAAATGTCATTTAATATGGAACTGTTATTGAAACTTTTGAGCTTCGTTTCAGCTTTTGCTAAGTCCAGGAGTTGTTAGGTTCGCTTGTTATGTAAATTGAATTTTTAAACAATTTTGGTGCAAATTATGTGATTTTGTTTTTCTAGTGATGGATTCAACAATTAATGATACTAAATGGCATTGTATGAGGAAACATTTACCTGCTCTTGGAGAGCATTCAAACCATCTAGGTTTTTACATTCTCAAAAACAAATACATATTTATATATTTATTTGTATATTTTGTTTTATATCTATGTAATTCTTTTATCCATACTCGCGAACATGAAATCAGGGTGACAATTGATCATTTTCATTCCTGTAATCAATTGAGTTTGGGTTTGTCCTAGAAATTTGAGTGTGGAATATCTGTGTTTCTTCTGTATATATATCTTAATTTTCAGAGGGAGAGTTGCAGAAATTCTTACATAAAGTAGGTCCCCTGGTTGATTTAATCCCAAAAGTGTTTAAATGTTAAGCATTTTCCCCTCATGGACTCTATTAATATTAAACAATAGATTAACCTTTG